TTCTGTTTAATGAATCCCTATTTTTTTCACGTTTTTTAACTTCCCACTTTCCAAACTTTGCTTGTTAATTATTTTCTTTATTATGAAAATGTTTATAGGATATACAATCACTACTTTACTGACCTGATTTTCAATAACTTTCTTGACCTTTAATGTCTAGTTCTTTACTCATTTATTATACAACTTATTAGTTTATAGATTGTAAATAAAATGTGAACTGATCAACCTGATTTTCCTGATTAGTTAATACTCAAAAATCAATGAAACTGATCTTTTACTAAACTAGAAAAATGACATTGATAGTAGGTCAATTAATTGTAGTAGAACTAGAAAATGATTCACTGTAAATCATAAGTTCCAATTAATTGTTATTCTCTTTAATCGAAATCGAAACTTTTAACTTATTATATGTAAATATACGATATATTTGAACAATATCTTGATAGTATTAAAAACTATAATGAAATGATCTTTGAGTAGACTATCTAATTTCTAATAAGTATAGTTTAATATGAATGAAGTTGATTCAGAAAAGCTTCAAAATTAAGGTTCTTTTCATTTGGTATCTGGATTAAAAGTTTCAAAACTATCAATGCTTATAAACTAATTATTTTTTCTAGGTATCATTGTCAAGGTTGAACTTGATGGTTTCTAATAAATTGGGCATTGGATAGAAAGTCTGGGTATATTTTTTGTTATATGTTAATGAGTAGAGAAATTTGTATTTCTGATGTTTCGTGACTTAATTAAAGCTACTCCTTCAGAGTAAATAAGTAAACGAATTAAATTAACATAAGTTTAAATAGTACCATCTAATTAAACAAGTTTTCGTAGTTTGCCAGAATGTTTATTTTATTTTTCAGGATAGTTTCTTCTGAAAGGGTGTTACACACTGTAATAATCTTGTTGTTGAATGTTAACATTAAAATTAATTGATTCGAAAGAGATATTTGATGCTGTTCTCTTTTAAACTTTAGTTCAAGGGATGTTTTAACTTAATAAACCCTATGATTTGCAAAATTAACGTCGCCCATTCATAAACTGGGTCAGTTGTCGACGTTTCATTAACAATAGCATTGTAGAAACTCTGAATACATGGATTTCTTTATCAGGTAAAGCTCTTGGATAAGAATATATAACTTTATGGAATATTTACTTTCTCATATGATTTGAACTTATGCTTTCCACGTGTTTTCGACTAACACATGAATTCAACTTCATATTGCTAAGTATCATACTTCGATAATGGCTTGAGCACGACTACAGTTTGCTTCACTATTTACTTGTCATTTGAGATGTTTTCTACCGGTCACCACTGATTTACACTTCAGTTTATTAACATTTCAACTAAAATATCTTGCCAATATTCATGGATCCAATAACAAAAATCATCATCCAACTGGGCGATGATAAAACTAAATGCATCAAATAAATTCCAAAGTTATCGTTATACATTACTATGAACTGGTACAGGACGACAATGACACATTCATATAAGGAAACTCATTTTTCCTTGTTTGTGTAACCTGTTGATCTATGTATTGAATATATACAGATATGGAAAGTATTTATAATTACTTTTCACTAGTGAACAAATGACCTTATTTATAAGACTAATATTTAACGAAGAATATTCTTTTCGGTAAATTCTTTTCAGGTTCTACAATTGTATATCCAAATTAATAATCCGAAAAATGGCCAGGTTAAGGGTAAAGTTCATCGTTTAAAGTTATAACATGTGAATTTAGGATTGTCAAACAAAATAGAATAAAATTGTTAATGTTGATATAACTCATATGTTGAGTGGAAATTTAAGATCCATGGTCAGAATAAATATGGATCAGATAGGGTGAAAGAAATAATAGTGCAGTTACAATTTGATCAAATGTTTAGTGGAAGACTATAGTGTGTAAAAAATAAATTGGAATGAATGCAAAGTAAATGAATCATGTATTGGGGAGATTGATATTGATGTTTAACCATTGGTGTAGTATTAATAATTATTATTTAATAGTTGAATTCATGATTCAATCGAAGCACTGGTTTTCCATGGTGATCTAGCTTCAACTGACTCATGAATTCAACTATTAAATTACTATGATGTCCACAAAAACCCTCTCTGATAATAATTATAATAACAATTCAAAGATTTATGAATAAAGATAACAGACAATTACATTTGACTGCGAATTAGGTCATTCAATAGTTAGGATTACTATGGATTAATTCGCTTAAAGGTTGGCCAGGGGAGGATAAATGATTGAAGGTATTTCATTTGTTCACACAGCTCAGGTTTCTGAATCTGAATGACTACTTCTTCAGTTGTTTGTGGGACTTCAAGTCTAACAAGCTTTGGCAAAAATTACTGACCCGATAAATTATTGAAAAGGATTGGTTTATGCTGGCACTATGACTAGTTTGTACTAGATGGAACAGTGTCGAGCAGTTCACTTTCTTCACCAGACCTTGCCTAGCCACTCTGGGAAGTGTTGGCTAGCACGAAAATGTAAATTTCTAGAACTTCAACCAATATAACAATCTCCACAGCAGCAGTCGAACTGATAAATAAAAAATGGGCTGGTCATTCGAGGTAATTCATATTTCAGCCTTGGTGTCACCATTGGGCGCGAATATGTATAATACTTTATTTATTTATACACATCAGTGAGTATATAGATGATCTAAGACAAACAAAGTAACGAAATGTATTTATTTCATACTATATTGTTCGTTGTTATTGTTTTACAAAGTTTGTCAAAGAAACTAATCTCACGGCACCATATATTCGTTGTTATTTGAGCTCTTCTATAAAAGATTAAGTATTAAGAGTTTAGTCTGATAGATTATTGCAATGAAATGTATCTACAAAATGTGATATCTTCAGAGATTCAATCTCTCGATTCAAATGTAAAAGCCTATTAACTAACACCTATCTCGTTTTCTAACTAATCTTCAACACCATTGATGTTCGAATAATTCCATTGTAAAGTAAAACATAAACAACAATAACAACAACAACTAGACCTTAAAATAATTTAGCCAGTGTTTTATCATCGTTGTTTTCTACTGAGTATGGTGTTTGAATCAAAACTGTGTTTTGTTTTAGCAAGCTCTTGAAAACAATTAATTCAATCCTTATATTCACTGAAAATTCATGTGTAATACTTCAGAAATGATGAATAATACCAATTTTAACTGAAGCAATAGTATTATTTAAGTGTAAAGATATTGAATTATATATCTTCTCTAACTATAACATCATCGTTACAACTGAAAATGTAAGGTTATTATGGAAGTATCGACTTGTGACAACTTGTTAATTAAACCAATTTCCATTCAGTTGATGTTTATTCACAATATTTCCATGAACCTATTGTACACATAAGTACGAAGAAACTAACTGCCAGTTTATAGAAATGAATATTATACCTCATTTATTAAAATCAAGAAAGTTTAGTGATGCAAATATTCAGCTTGATATATTTGCTAGTAAGCAATAACAAACATGCAAACGCATTCATGTTAGTATGCTGCTGAGTATTTAAAATACATGACTTATTTACTACTAAAACTACGTCACAACCTGCTAATAAAAATTTTATTCTAGCAATCAACAAGGTTTATTTTTAATCATGATGAACATCTATTAAAAAACATTGATTAGGTCGTAATACAATGAATCTATAGTTTAGAACCTCTAAAAATGTTTCTATGCTTACATTACTTATATATTAATAGGTTTACTAACAGTCCGTTGACGATTTGTTTGAGGTTTTCAGACTCGTTACTTGACGATTTTCTTCAAATTTATGTATTCCAAAGACTACAACTTCATACTGACAATTATCATGTGCTCACTAGTGGTTTGTTTCGAGAGAAAATTTTCAAAGTCTTAGTGAAAAGCAATGATCAGTGGAGTTAATTCGCATCGTGTGAGACAGTTACCCACCGAACACAATGGAAGATGGTTATGCAATGTCTTAGACGGATTGAAGTTAGACATGAACACCGCCATATGCCAACTCAGGGGTCTAGTGATTAGGCATTGCACGTGTTTGATCCCCCCGTACATGGTCTACGGTGAGCACCTGTGACGAATCTTATACTAAAACAGAACGTCCCCCTAGTGCTTCCTGGTTTTCAATGATGTTCTGAAATTAATCGGTTCATGATTTCAATGAAGAGAATATAAATCAAATGTTTCGACCATAGTTATAATGTTAATGTACCTTTTTTGTGCACTGAATAGAATGCTTGCCTTTAATAAAAACCATTCCTAATTCTATATAATAGCATACAGTTTCTCTTACTTTATTGATGAAAGTAAGTGGTAGTTGGCTCAATTGGTTAATTTAAAGGGTGTGTTCTGAAGATCACATCACTTCCCTTATTGATACTTAACGTTATTAGTTTTTTTAATAAAATGACTATAATATATATGATGAAGAAATGGTCTTTTTGAGTATAGTTTTCCTAGGAAAAACTTTTTCTTCGTCACGTATCAAACTGTTTATATTAATTCGTTAGAAATATACAGTATACATAACTCAAAGCTTCTACCTTAGAAAACTGGTTAGCTTGCTGCATAATTGTATGGTTTACTGGAATTTGTATGATTTAAAGATGGGTTTCAATTGGAATGATTCGAGAATATACATTTAGATTCTGACCAGATTGACTTGAAGGTTTATTTGAAAGCATACACTCATTGAAATACTTATTTTATATTCAACAGTTCACATTATCTTACTCCAGTGATTTTCAACGTTGACTTGGATTAATCGCAAATTATGTCTTGTTTTTGTAATGCGATCAATGAATGAGTAAAATTTTCTTTTGTCAAAACTTCACTAAAAAAATAATGTTTTTTTTTGTTTGTAAGTAAGCGCATAAAATTAAAGTGACCAGCATTTACTATTTACTTATCATTCATAATACAATTGTAGATCTCTATGACTTTTCATGTGATTATGTCATCATGATAACTTTTTTTTCTTGAAGTTATTATTTAGCTGAGTATATAACCAATGTATGAACTATTTTACTGAAAAGAAAAACTGACACATAAAGCATGTCTTGAGTTCACTTATTGATTAACGGAGTATAGTATTGTGATTTGCCTGAAACAATATAAAAAAATCTTCATATTTAAGTACTGTTTCATCACTAGAGTTGTGTTTTCTACTTCTTGTATCAACTTTATTTCAACTGAATAATAGAAAGCATCTATATTGCTAATCTTATTATTTAAGGATTAAATAAACACTTAGGATATTATAAGATATTTTATCATACATAGTACAATGTCTGGGAACATGACCACTTTAAGAAGGTAAGTTTAATTGGTGGTAGCATTTATTCCTTTAGATTTACTATTTATTAATTATAATATGTGAAGATTCATCTTTGTTTATATTCAGAACAAGTTCGCGTACATTGAATTATGTTTGATTGACACTATTTAATAAAACATTATAATATACTAAGTTAATATGATAATCAGTTCAATTTGTGTCATAAACAAAGTTTATATAATTCGAAAAACTTCAGATAAGTAGGTAGATAATAGTTAAATTCGTTACATACTGTGAAGATTATACTTCATTTTTATCATAAACATCTGTTATAGAATAAATTTCATAATAAAATAGAAACTTCTTTTGAGACAATCGACTTAAATAGAATGTGCTATTCTTGCTTGTATAAACAGTCTATTTAAATAATAGGAATACAGTGTCATGTTAACTTATTAATTTGTAAATATACAAAAATCGCTGTAGATCACATTTTTACTTCATTACGTTGGAAGTAGTATGTATGAAACAAGATAAATGTATATAAGTAAGATTGGATAGACTAGTCGTTATGACTGACCTTTTTGTAAATGATTAGTTGACCCATTTTACCAGAAATTAATCAAGCGTTCACTGGTAACTAACTTCTGGAGCTAAGTCTCAGAGTTCTAATAAGAATCAGTTATCGATCTAGCTCCACTAAACATTGCTATTTCCAGTACATAGTGGTCGCTCAATATTACAAATCAAACGGAGTTAGAAATGTAGATCAATGATTATAAAGTTAAACGCTCGGAGAAACACCTGAAAGTTTTTAGTTTGATTTCTGGTTGGATCGGAGATGTGTACTATTTAGGAGTCCCATACTGATGCTAAATGATTATCCAGTACTTAACAGTTTTCAACAGTCGTCTAGCTTGGGTAAACTCATGATCTAAAACTACCAAGATGATATAAGTTAATAATAGCCTGAATTTTAAGTGTTTGAGTTCAAAAGAACACGTTTTAAGTATATAACTTCATTGTTATACCAAAATATAATGTGAAATGCATTGAAAAATTTAGATTCTTACTTTATCGCTTTACTGATTTCACTATGACTTTTATCTGTTACCTCGGTTTACTAAACTTAGACGCTTACTGATTTGGTTTGTAATTACAGTTCATGTGACAATAGTGTTTACTATTTACATGAAAAATATACTATTGTCGATTGTTTAAAAATTCAACTTTTTTCTATACTCATTTACCAATCTAGTTTGTTATAATGTCAGGTTCTCTATTATCAAAGTTATTTACATTTTATAGATAATTACCACTAGATGTGTAATTTACTACTAATCGTCAGTCCTACAAATTCTTAACTAATAGAGAATTAAAGTATATTGTAATGATAAATAATATATTCCCTACAAATATATAAATACACCATTCCATTAAATGCTTCCAGGTTTTCAATGGTGGTCTAGCTTCGATTGACTCATGATTTCAACTTGTCAAATTTCTAAAAATCTCCACAAAACCCATTCTGATAATAATAATCACCTGCTCACTAGTGACTGACTTCAGGAGATACTCCTGGAGTTCTAGTGAGAAGTCGTTACCAGTGGAGTTGAACCAGGTCTGTTGTGAGATATCAGCTCACTGAAGACAATGGTGTACGGTGGCGCAACTTCGTGGATTGGTTGAAGTTAGACATTAACACCGTTGGATGCCGGCTCAGTGGTCTAATGGTTAAGTGCTCGCGCGCGAAACCAGTAGATCCTGGGCTCGAATCCCGCGAGGTGCGGGGTCGTGGATGCGCACTGCTGAGGAGTCCCATACCGGGACGAAACGGCCATCCAGTGCTTCCAGGTTTCCCATGGTGATCTAGCTTCAATTAACTCATGATTTCAACTTGTGAAAAGATTTTTTCCCTTAAAATTCGGCAAATATTAGTTATTTAATATTTTCAAACTTTGAGATCCCGAATGCATTTTGTCACTGCACTTTTTCATGGTTCCAATGATTGTTTTCTACGTATTAGTTTTTTTAAAAATTAAGGTAAAAGAAAACTGGATATCACAATATTCAGTCTAATTAATCATTCATCAGATTTTCCTACGTTCTTTTGATTTACTAAACTTTTCAGTAAGATCAAGTATTTCACTAAGATTGGTTCAATAAACTTGTTAATCTGTTGAAGAAAGCAACATCATAATCATATCATTATGTTACATCATTACTTTAAAAAAACATGCTTGTTTCACAGGTATTCCGATTAACTGTTTCTTAATGTCTTTCTTATTTATACAAAACAATATTTTTAATTTGTTTTTCTTTACTATTTCCAGACATCATTCTACATTCTCGCATACAATGAATAAATTTAAAGCGATGGATAAAGCAAACAATCCCCAGGGTGCAAAACCAAAGTAGGAGTTGTAAATGAAATTATTTTTAGTAAAAACAATTGTGTAAAACATTTCATTTAATTAATACATAAGATTTATTTTGATTGTTACTTTATTCAAAGAAATAGTTCGGATAAATAAATACTACAGAGAGTAAACAAATGTTATTATTTAAGTATTCGATAACTAGTTATTTAGTCGTCAACTTGAACCCCACCATACCTATGTCATCTTACCCAGTTGGATAGTATTACTGACTCTGAAGCAAGAACTTGAAACTGAAATCAAGAATTTGCCTGATTACTGAGTTACATCACACCTTTGTGATAAATAAATTATGAATCGATAAACTGGTCACGAGAAGGATTGGTGAAGAAACGTTCGTAGTAAATAAACTAGTCAATATCTAAATCACATTAACCTATTTCTCGGTAGTCTTATAACTATGTGTTTTGCATGAAGAAAGCCTATTACTTGAAAAGTAAAATGTTTTTATAACATAATGTTGACGTAAGTTAGCTGATAGGCGTTAAATAGTTCGAATATATAATCCTGTTAAAAACCTTAATTACAATCTACATAGCTCAGTTGTAATTTTTCAGACATGTGATATAGTATTAGTCGTAACAAACACAATAGTCTGATTCAAGACTGTTGCTCACCATGAAGGTCAATGAAACTTATGAATACTTCTCTTTCACGATGATTTGTAATGGTTCGAGGCGGAAACAACACAAATCCGAGTTACTTAAATTCGTAAAAATTAGTTTTTAAGTGATCAGAGGAGTAAAATAACTTAAATTAATTTTAAATGCTCTGGAGTTATGTTAAACGCTTTAATGTACCCGTTAACTATATGCAACTAACGTAAAAGAGGTCACATAATGAAACCTTACAAATATATACGTAAGTAATGAAACTAATGTTGGAGAGAGACCTTATTCCACAATGTAACGAGTTCATACAAAATGTCGTCTATTGAATTCATCTATACTATCATAATGATAGTACTTAACAGTTCACACAAAAATGGTGTATAACTATGCATACCACTCAAATATAATATCATTTACTAATGCTTCAGAAATGACTTTTCGTACGTATCTTCACAATGATAGAAATGATTCAATATTTTAAATATTACACTTATTTATTGCAGAATATTGGGGATCTACACGTAATTGAAGTGTCTCTTTTCATTTATTTACAATCATGGTACTTTTCTGTTGCTGTGGGGTTCCGTTAACGAACAGATATACAAGAGTTCTTTTTACGATTTCAGTGTTTTTACATGCTGAATACTTTTTGTGTTCAAAAGTTATGTTTGTGGCGACAATACACCAAATGATCAGTAAATTATCAACTTTATATCGCATTCTGATTCTAGAATTTTGTATAAACTAAATTATTAGGAGACTGAATATCCAATGATATATTTAAAAATAAATGTAAAATATGAAGCTCACAGACCATTGGTATTATTAATTTACATGAGTTCAGTATTATCAGATACACGTAGAAAATTTACACCTTAGGAGGTTGAACTACATGATGTACCATCGGAAGTGTGAAACACCATCAATTAAGATGTAGAATTTTAGATATTGTGAACGACCAAATGGATCCCACTACAAGTTATGTATTTCTTAAAGTATTTTTACCAGAAAAATAGTTTTTCAATCGACAACGTTCAACTTTAATTGCATCAAAGTTACTTGTTTACTAAAAATAATTTTTTTATACAGTTGCAAATATGCTGCTTGGACAGATTCTGTACTTAATTAAGAACAATGGGAAGTACTAATACACTAAAACAATTGTCGAAAAATGCTTCGACTGAACTATTTAGTTAGATCACATGTAAATGTGCTGAAAACTCGATATGCCGATCATTATGAACCAGTTATTTTTCATCATTTTACTTGACAAGAATTTAAAGATTTTGCAAGATCTTAGTTAATACAAACAATAGCACTGGATATAACTATTACAATAAACATGCATTCATTTCACCACATACCCAAAATTTCGAACTATAATATCAAAGATTAAAATACAATAACAAAACAGGTATCAATAACAAGATTAGACTTAATAGTTTCATTGTTTCCTTTGTACTATCTAAACATGTGTTAATTTTAATGCCTATTATTTATTTACTCTGAAGAAGCGGCTTACATTAAGTTACGAAACGTCAGAAACATAATTTTTCTACTCATTTAAATATAACAAAAATATATTTATTACAATAGCAAAACAGGTATTTCGTTTATTGATTATTAATTACATTACAGTTTCGCATCCGGTGGAAAAGGAGCACAACCTAATGCAAAACAGATTATGCTTGATTGGTGTAAAGCTGTAACTAAAGGATATGAGGTAACTAACTTTAATTTAATATGTTATCTAACATTTTCTAAGCGAATACAGTTTACAATAAACTGACAACCAAAGCAACCATTTATTTAGGTACATGGAATGCTCGTACAATGTGGGAGACTAGAAGAGTCTTCCGAATTGGGGCAGAAATTAGGAAATACAACCTAGAGGTGCTTGGGATCAGCGAAACACATTAGACGCAAGTTGGTAAACAACGAATGGCTTCAGGGGAGCTTTTGTTATACTCTAGCCATGAAAAATAAAATGCCCCACATACACAAGGAGTTGCATTGATGCTATCCAAACAAGCACAAAATGCACTTATAGGATGGGATTCTCATGTACCAAAGATCATCGAAACCTCCTTCAAAACAAAGAAAGAGGGCATTACAATGAACATCATCCAATACTATGCACCGACCAACGACTACAATGAAGACGCTAAAAATCAATTCTACAATAGGCTGCAGTCAATCGTCGAGAAGTGACCAACAAAGGACCTGACCATTCTGATGGAAGACCTGAATGCCAAGATTGGAATGGACAACATCGGATATGAAGACATCATGGGACGACATAGACTGGGAGAAAGGAGCGAAAATGGTGAGAGATTTGCATACCCATGTGCCTTCAATGAACTGGTCATAGGAGGCACTATATTTTCACGTAAATGCACACACAAAGCAACATGAACTTCCTCGGATCACACTACACAGAACAAAATCGACCATATCTGCATCAACAAAAAGTTCAGGAAGACGACGGAGGATATGAGAACCAAGAGAGGAGCTGATATAGCATCAAATCATCACTCGCTGATCGCCAAGATGAAATTGAAACTCAAGAAGTACTGGACAACGTGGTGGACAACATTATAAATGTTTAATACGGCCCTGCAAGATACTGACAAACTCAGAGAATTCAAGATAGCCCTCACCAATAGGTTACAGGCCTTTCACAATCTACTCAGTGGAGAGGGAACTACCATGGAGAACAACTGGAAAAGAGTCAAGGAGGCAGTCACTTTAACATGGCATGAGATTGTGGGCTGACAAGAAGCACCATCACAAGAAATGGGTCACTGTTGATACACTGGATAAGATTGAATAAAGGAGGAACAAGATAGCAGCAATCAATATCAGACGAACAAGAGCAGAGAAAGCCAAGGCACAAGCTGAATACACAGAAGTAAACAAGCAAGTGAAGAGGAGCATCAGAACCGACAAACATAAATACGTAGAGGATCTAGCAATGATGGCGGAAAAGGCTGCTAGAGAAGGAAAAATGAGACAATTGTACGACATAACAAAGAAACTCGCTGGAAATTGTCGTAAGCCAGAAAGACCAGTGAAAAGCAAGGAAGGTAAAGTAATCACCAACATTGAAGAACAGCAAAACAGGTGGGTAGAACACTTCAAGGAACTCTTGAAGCGACCAGCCGTATTGAACCCGCCCAACCTCGGAGCAGAACACAAGGACCTTCCAATAGATGTTGGCCTACCAACAATTGAATAGATCAGCATGGCCATCAGACAAATCAAGAGAGGCAAAGCAGTAGAACCAAACATTATTCCAGCAGAGGCACTGAAAGTAGATGTAGCAGTAACTGCAAGGATACTCCATATTCTCTTCAATAAGATTCGGGATGAGGAACAAGTGCCAACAGACTGGAAAGAAGGACACCTCATCAAGATACCAAAGAAGTGTAATAACTACAGAGGCATCACTCTCCTCTCAATACCGGGAAAAGTCTTCAACAGGGTATTGTTAATCAGAATGAAGGACTCTGTAGACGCCCAACTTCGAGACCAACAGGCAGGATTCCGTAGGGATAGATCGTGTACAGACCAAATCGCAACTCTACGGATCATTATGGAACAATCAATTGAATGGAATTCATCACTCTACATCAACTTCATTGACTACGAAAAAGCATTTGATAGCGTGGACAGAACAACACTATGGAAGCTTCTTCGACACTACGGCATGCCTCAGATGATAGTCAACATCATACGAAATTACTATGATGGTTTAAACTGCAAAATCGTGCATGGAGGACAGTTGACAAAGTTAGGCAGGGTTGCTTACTCTCACCCTTTCTCTTTCTCCTGGTGATCGACTGAATCATGAAGACGTCAACATCTGAAGGAAAGCACGAGATACAATGGACATCTAAGATGCAGTTGGACGATCTAGACTTCGCAGATGATCTGGCCCTTCTATCCCAAACGCAACAACAAATGCAGGAGAAGACGACCAGTGTAGCAGCAGCCTCAGCAGCAGTAGGTCTCAATATACACAAAGGGAAAAGCAGGATTCTCCGATACAACACAGAATGCACCAATCCAATCACAATTGACGGAGAAGATTTGAAAGATGTAAAAACCTTTACGTATTTGGGCAGCATCATTGATGAACAGGGTGGATCTGATGCAGATGTGAAGGCGCGGATCGGAAAAGCAAGAGCAGCATATTTACAACTGAGGAACATCTGGAACTCAAAGCAACCGTCAACCAACACCAAGGTCAGGATTTTCAATACAAATGTCAAGACAGTTCTACTGTATGGGGCCGAAACCTGGAGAACTACGAAAGCCATCATCCAGAAGATACAAGTGTTTATTAACAATTGTCTACGCAAAATACGTCGGATCCGTTGGTCAGAGACCATCAGAAACAACCTGCTGTGGGAGAGAACAAACCAGATTCCAAAGGAGGAGGAAGTCAGGAAGAAGCGCTAGAAGTGGATAGGACACACATTGAGGAAAGCACCCAACTGCGTCACAAGACAAGTCCTCACATGGAATCCTCAAGGCCAAAGGAGAAGAGTGAGATCAAAGAACACATTACGCCGAGAAATGGCAATAGACATGAGAAAAATGAATAAGAATTGAATGGAACTAGACAAGAACGCCCTGGACAGAGTGGGTTGGAAAATGCTGGTCGGCAGCCTATGCTACATTAGGAGTAATAGGCTGAAAGATGAAGAAGGACTTGACAACCGATTAAAATATATCCTCTCTAAATATCTAAGTTAATTACTAGTTATTGGATAGCATCATTATTTTTATTTAGAAATGCAGCAATTTGGAAGACACTCCCACATTGCACAAGCATTTTATGTACCTAAATAAATGGTTACTCTGGTTGTTAGAAGGGGCATCTGCCTCGTGACTTCCGAAGGAACTCAACTTTCATCATGGGGCGTCATAACTCTCCTAACTGAAGACCTTCCGATTCCCAGGGCAGAGTTTAAATAACTTTTTTCTAGTTAGTGTTTTTCAGCGAGTCAGTTTTCTACAAGATGGGGTCGCTAACCCCATGTCCAACCCTCCTCCTTTATCCGGGCTCGGAACCGGCAGTGGTCCCCGGAGGGACTCCAGGCGGAGTTTTTATTTAGAAAAAGTGATAAAATATTCCTCTTTTGAATTATTGTATTAAATGAAGTAAAGAAGATCTGATTTATAACACTATAACTCAGTTATTATTATATCCACATGAAGATATCTGTATGATATTTTGTATAAAAATAAACACGAGTTCATCTTCAATTCTTTAGTTAGCTAACTTAAAGATTGTAAGAATCGTGTAGGGAAATGAGGGATTTCTAGTTGTAGCCAACCAAATGATAAATACTAATGGTTCAAGATTTCATGTAGATACATAGCCTTTAAATTCCGACCACTCATTTTTTTTTTGTTTTTAATATTCCAGTTTTGTTCGTGAAGTTATTTCTCAACTTGATTTTATTCTCAATACTGTTTTGAAGTAATGTGACGTTTCGTTGTGGCTTGCTAGTCTGTCCATATATTGTTATTAAAAAGCCATTATCGTAATGAGCTTCCTAACTTTCAAATTTTTCTTCTGTACATAGTAAATATTGAAAGACTTATTTCTAATAAATTTTCGAAATTGTTAAGTGTATTTTGTAACGTAATTTCAATGTAAATCAAATGAAACATGATTTGAAATCCCCAAGATTAAGCTCGCAAAGCGGTGAACGATACATTTATTGATAATGCTTTGAATTTTTGTTTATTCTCTTCTGTCACTATTGTAACTGAGTCACTGATTTTCTTCCTGTATAGAGATCTTATTTTTAATGTTTATGAGACCCTAAGACTTTAGCTAACTGACCATCTAAAATAATTTTGTACTCGAATACTAACATACAGAATGAACCGTTTACATCCGTAATTTATTATAATTATGACATACCACTTATCGTATTGAGGATTAGTCGTTTCAAATTGTAGTTTCTTAACTCTAACCAGACCTTCCTTTACTTATAACTTATTAGAAATGTTAGCGAAAGTATCTTACTATTCACTTTAATGGTTCATTGTCATGAATATAACTCTAAGTGCAAATTTAAGTACTGAAGAAGACTAAATTTATATTAAGATTTTTAAGCTGATGAGTAAGCTCAATTCCTTAAATAACTGTGTTCATTTGAATTTACGTTTAGAAAAATTTAAACCGATCACCTAATCTTACATGACTTTAGTCTACTTAGGCTAAGAAGGTCTCAAATCATCCAGATTTTATAAATAAATTGTAGTTCTTTCCAGTAGCGATAAAAGCAAGCATATTTTTTCTGATTCATAAATCCTCATCAAAATCCGGTTTTATTTGATTGGTCATTTGCATCCATAGTTTGACAACTTTTTTTGTCTCCCAAAGTCATGCTTTATTACAATATATTCAGAAATATCATATTCCCCATTTAACTCTTGGAATATCAAACTTTCTCTGCACTCATCCCTTCTCTGAATGTTCCTTTCCATTTGGAGATTACTGATGAATTGTTATGTGCCAGTTGTCACTCAATCGGATTCGCATTAGATCCTGTTTGTGTTAAATGAATTTGTCATTTGTAAGTAGAAATTACAGTAGGCCCAATCAGTCTCCGAAATACCACAACCACTGATAACGCTCTCAACATAATCGTAATCACTTTCTGCTAACAATCATAATAATAACTAATTAGCATACCTACATTCATAGCTAAGCTATGAATAAAAATATTTTACAATTTATACAACTCCAAATGTATTTTTATTAATAAATACTCCAAAACACAACTCAGAAACAGTAGTAATGTGTTAGTCGGTAGCCTTGCGAAAATTTGGAATAAAAGGTATAACAAGCAAACCTGAAAAGTGATCGTAAATCATACTACAAACTGTTGCTTTTCAACAGTAGTACATCCGTTTGATGCATTAGTTTTATCCAAAGTTTGCATTGATTGTCAGATTAGTTTCCCATTTGTATTTCTGGAAATAACGTAAAATGTTTGATTAACAGAGAAACTTATGTAAATAAAGTGGTGTCAGAGATGTTTTAAATAAGTAACATGAATCTAAAAAACATTTTTTGTCAATACATTATGTTATTTAGAAGTTACTTATTAGACTTTTAAGATAGCCTTAGATACCAGATTGGTTGATCAGCTCAGTTTCCACGACTAAACTTTCACGGAAATCTAGATAAAAAAAACTGAGAATTCTTTTGATTTGTGTTTAGATCCTATCGCTAATAACATTGTCTTCCAGTCCCATTTATTAACATGTTAGGTTTAAAGAATAACAAAGTCATCTAGAGTGTATATCACTGATGGAGTATTGTACTTTTTGCTACTAACGTCTTAGTATAATCCCGTGAAATTTTTATAAAGTTACTAGTATCCCTGATCTTTTTATATGCTAAACATTTATTATAATCCGTAAGCACTATCATTCATTAGAGTTCAGACTTATGCAAATTATCAAACATGGATTATCATAGTATCACAAATATTCAAATAAAATTGTTATAATGAAAAGAATCCCATCTGACAATTATCTTGAAGCAGTTTATATGTAATTTTATCAATGTACGGTAAGTATGAACTAAAACTTATCAGATATAGTATGTGTTACAGTACTTTTGGTCGTGACAAATATGTATAGTAGAAAATTTAATATAAATAAGCAAGTTCTGTACACCACGACCTAATTTTTAAAAAAAATGAAACAACCTCATTCCATGCAAAAGTAGCTTTGTGAGATAATGAAATTAATATCTAAATGAAAAAAATACAATTAGCTTATGGTCAGTATCTAGTAATGAAGTTTCTATTTTACTGCCTGTAGAATCTAATCTAGTTTTATAAATCATTAAATTATCAATTCTTCTAATATAACATTTTCATAAGCTTTCTTATTTCTATCTTTATCGGTGTAGAGAAATACAAATGTGAGAAAATATATTTACTATGTACGATATTCAGATCGAATTGATAGGAAAACCACTGAAATTCTAAGAGTAAAACATCATTGATAAAATCTTATATATTTGGTTGTCTTTAACATTACTGATAATGAAAAGACAGTCCAATCTTACGATTGATTAAAGAGCCTCATAGAATCTTAACAGAAAATATACTTATTTGATAATTATTGCCTTCATAGCTCTATTAATTCAAAATTAATAGACAAAACTAAATCAGCTATGATATTTATTTGGCTATATCATTCTCATTCACAAAAAATGTGATATTTAATAAAGGTTCAAGTTATTCGTGAAAAACGAACTGCAACAGTTCATGAAACTGTTCACTTTATTACCTGGACCACGTATAAGTATGTACATTGTCCAACATGAATTCTTATGATGACCTCAGGTAATGAAATAGTTGTTTAGTTCTAACAGTCCAGTATTATTCATTTAGTACTTTGCTTTGTCTGAAAAATGAACATTCACTACTTTCCAACTGTGTTCATTCAAAGAAAATGTTTACATTCCTAGATTTTATTTTTCCTTGTTTAGGTTGCTTTAATATTAGTGGCAATTTAGAGAAATTATCCAATCTAGGTATTGTATTTGATGCCACTCATCAGTAGAGGATAAACGAAAACTCACGAGGGATGACTTTCATCCCCTTAAATTCGAATACATCATTAAGATTTACAATCAGAAACGTTATCGTTGCGTTATTTGACCTAGAACCATTTATCTGTAGAAATAAGATTTTCAAGCTGATTAAATACTGAATCGTAGCAAATGTCATATTTATCTCGTTTTGAGTACTGATTAAATTCTGCGTGCTATGTTGCAACCTGGTCACTAATCCTAGACTACTGGTAGGCTTTTCTAATGAACTTACTGTACTTTGATCTATTGAATCTAAATAACACTAAGAACCAAACGAATATTACATTGGTTACTGTAAATAGTCATCCAAAGTGAATATAACGTTTCAAATGAAATGATTTGAATCAATAGTTACACAGCTATGTCCATCCTTGAGATATTCTGATTTTATTAAAATCTTGTAGGTTCAGTGTTTTTTTACTCTCAATATATATCTAGTAAATTGATTGTGTCTGTTTACTTCAACTATATAAAAGGTAATTACAACACTATAAATTTATACAACCAAACTTTGATTATTCCGAGAACTTATATAGCGTCATCTGTTGGTTATGTATAAGATATGAATTATCAGTCAGAAAAATAATAGTTACCATTTTTAGCTACAACATCCGATTATTGATCACAAAAATAACGTTACAGATATGTTTTATGTGGATGCACTAAGTCCTAGAGCTTTCATATTCTATAAAACTAATTTAATATTGTATAGAACCTTAAATATCTATGCATTAATTTAAAGTAGCTTATTTTCAGGAGATTGTAAGTTTTCCTGATCCTTCTAAGATCAAATATTGTTCGAAATTGATTTAGTCAAGTAAGAATATGTATATATATGTACCAGCCACTGTAAAGACTTTGGAGATTCAAAAGTATTATTTATCTGTACATTGAGGGACAAGGAACTTAAAACGTGATTTTCTGAAGATATTGAAAACATCACACTATCGTTTTACAATTTTTACAATAGAGTTATAAATAAGACTATTATATGTGAAACCATAAATGAAGAGTCCAACGTTTAGTGCAAATATATCTTATATAAATCAGAATATGCTCAACTAAACAATTTTCGATTTCCTATGAAACATTGTTTCATGTTCTGATTTGACCCAACTCATAGATTCACTTTGGTAATAACATCCTTTTACGGTGGAAATGACAGATGATTCCAGCGAAATTTCTCCTTGATATCAACATTCCTTTTTGGGTTGATTTATCTATTACTGATTACTTTATTTCTTTCTCTACTTGTATTCAGGGTGTGGACATACAAAATTTCGGAAGTAGTTGGGGTGATGGTTTAGCATTTTGTGCATTAATTCATCACTTTTATCCTGATTCATTTGATTTCTCTACATTGGATCCAAAAAATAAACGAGCAAATTTTGAATTGGCGTTTGAAAAAGCTGAGTAAGTTTTAAAAAGATAAGCATGTATAAGCTTACAGATATGCCCCTCCATTTCGCATATACATTTTTTATTCAATTAGGTCGTAACGTGACGAACCGTAGGATTTACTGTCTTTAAAATGAGCTATCCGTCTTTTTATAGTAATAATGCTCCAATGGATTTTCAATAACGTCAGCTGAAGCTACACTGAAATAGATGAAGAGCGTAGACTGAAATCGAATAAATTAGTCATACTGTACCTCCTTAATCTAGATGAATCTGTAACTTTGATAAACATCGAGATTATTTAATGTGAACACCTTTTATATTTCACGCTGGTATGTAAAAACACAAAAATGGGATTCCTAATATTCGTATTAAAACGACTGTAGGTTATTTAAAATGAAACATATTTTTCATTGTTTAAAAATTCAGAAATAGTTTTCTTTTCATATAAGCCTCTCTATAGTCATCTTAAATTAAACAAATGGGTTATTTTTTAAATTTTAGTTACCCGTTTATTCAATCATCCTACAGCACATAGTCCTTTTGGAACGCTCTTGTTTGTAATTAGGGATATATCTTTTCATAGTATTAAAGACTTAGTTTTAAGTAATGCATATAAAAGGGAAATAATATGAGGCATTTCAATAATACATTGAGACTTGAATATTTACATTGCTAAGCATGTAACAGTAATAATAATAATAATAATCGTACAGATGTTACTGTCAAATCATAACAAGTTAAAAAAATTCTACTAGGATCAATCAAGCAAATAACTTTAAACTGTATCTAAAGACTTTATCAAGAAATAGAAAAGATGACCTGACAGAAGAAAAGCTTAAATATGATCTTTTCCTCTTTCAACAGGTAATTAATATGATTTTGTAACTCCTTCGTTCACTTCAAATCGACAGCAAAGATTTTCTTAAAACATATCATTCTGACAACATTCTAAGATATATTGAATACTGAACTTGATTGTTCTCAGAGTAGCTATAAATCTAATAGTTCAGTCAACAGTTTTCGTGCTTTAATGAAACACATAGATGTATATTAGTCAATTATTCGTGTCAAACTCACATATAAATATGTATAATTTCATATAAGCAATGTTGTAAAAACATAACTGTATTGTTATGTAGGTCAGTTTTGCTTATTTGTTGAATGATAATACAATAAAATGTCAAGATAACAGTAGCCAGGATGAAATTTTTTCAATCTCTTTTGAATAGTTTCATTATCCTTAGATTGTTTTTACAATTTAATTTCAAACAAAGTAGGACCACTTCTCTGAAATTTACGGACACATAGAAATGCATAAAACAGAAATAAAAAAAACGAATTAAGTAGAAGAAATAAAGAGATTTAGAAGGATGATGCGGTTTGAAAATCGTAACGAAAACGAAAGATTAATATTATTCATTGTCACACACAACAACTTGATTTTTGTTAAACGGTTTTCTCTTGGTTGAATGGTTTTGTTTCCAAAAATTATAATATTGTTCAAATTTACATTAAAGGTTTTGCAAACAAACCATTCAGATAAGAGAATGTAGCACCACTAAAGAGCATTGACCAGAAATGCTAACCACACTCGACCCCGTCATTTCACAGTGAGCTGACTTTATTCGTTTGTTTATTAAAATTACAATAAAGTTGAGTATCAAACACTCCCAGAATGTCACCAAACTTAATGAAAGACATTGAAAGAACTAATAACCACTTATTGAAAACTGATCACTTCTCTGTTCATTTGTGATTTTGATTGCATGTCTTTTTGAAGTTAGTCAGATAATTTTGATTCTTATAAGTTTCACAAAAAATTACATCAGTCCAAAACGTAAATATCATTTTAACTGGCTACCTGGCCACTGTGGTACAATACTACCTAAAAGAATTTAAAAATATCGTAATATTTAATAAAATGTTGTTTAATAAATATATTTTTTTGTTAAATCTCAGTAGAAATTTTATATTTCCAACGTTTCGTGACTTAATGTAAGCCAATTCCTCATAGTGAATAAGTCTCTGAAGAAGTGGGATACAATGAAAAATGTATTTATTAATAATTTTCTACCTGATGCTCAATTTGTTTGAAACTATCAAGTCCAACCTTGAAATCGATATCAACAAAATGTTGTACCTTTGAAAAAGATTGATTTATTGAACAAAACACAACAATAATTCATTACGCCACTAACATACAGTTAATATTGAATGTGAATTACTACCTCTTTTGTTTGAAAAATATAGTTCATTTACTTAAATTAAATTGATTAATACAAAAGGAATTTTAATAGTTGAGACCATGAGTCAATTGAAGCTAGACCACCATGGAAAACCTAGTAGCACTAGACGTCCGTTTCGTTCTAATGTGGGACTCCTCAGCAGTGCATCATTAAAATTACTATAATATCCACAAAACCCCTTCTGATATTAATATAGAAGCGTTTGATAATTTGGATACAACAAAATGTTATAATGAAGAATATTTTAGAATGATATTACTTATATAGAAAAAAATCATATAATTATATCGACTCATTTTCACTTAGTGAAATATAATTTTACCTTTTTTTAAAGTCATCACGCTTACTAAACGTGATACACATTGAAGTTACTCAGCAATTCTAATCATACAGATTAATGTGTAAAATGAAGGATTACTTATATGACATAACTGTTTTTTTAAACTTTGTTACTTTATTCTATTTGGAATTTTTTGTTCAGTTTATATAAGAGAGATAAACTGTGTCATCCTATTCAATAATACCTCATTTCCAGTGTTATAAGTTGACCGTTAATCTACACTAAATTATGACTAACACATCAATTTTTACTTGAAAACTGCTATTACTTTTAATTCAGTAGAGTTATACACCAAACTATATTCATGGTTGATGTTATTTCCTTGATATAAAGAAAGAAGTCTTTTGAACTGAAGCCAATATTGAAATCCTTAATATTTAGTGTGAAGAAGTGATTTTCTTCAATACATAATGAATTATATTCGAAAAGACTCCAAAATGCCCTGGTACGGCCGAGAGCGAGGAGAGTAAGCTCAACTTCTCGAAATGCTTTCACATGACCAGGCGTACACAACCACTGCCAGGGAAGTCCTACTCACTGCCTTCTCGTGGCGGGAGTGTTATTCAGGAAGTTGATAGGACGAAAAGCGAATGTCCAGAGATTTAGCCGGGTTGATGGACACGAAGAGTCCACCGAGGGGAGTTGGAAAATCCTGATTTCACGCCAATGGTGCACATGGGCGCCAGGATCATAAGAGAACAAATGGCGTATGAACTAATCATTGGTCACCGGCCATCATGGGACTGCATCTCCTGACCTTGCTCCACTGCCTTGTGAATAAGACATCTAGGCCAAAGGCTCGAGGAGTGGCTCCTTATGAAGACCACCTGCTTCAGTTTGAGAACGCGGGCAGTATCCTAGTTCTCACACAAATCGAATGATTTATGTGGCGCATATCTATTTGGTGCCTCCTTGTACCAATGTTTATGTGTTTAAACAAATAAATAAAATATTCGAAAGAGATAAAAAGAAAAATGATTTTTAAAGTGAACTACATTCTATCTACTAGGAATCAATCAAGAAAAGCAAATTTTAACTAAAGTCATAAAATTTTCACCATTAGCCCTTAAAAATAATCTTCTGTTATAGTATTTATAAATACAAAATAGAAGTGTGAAACTACTAATAGAAAAAAAGCATTTCGATGAAAGAGTAAGAAGATTTTATAAAAAGAAACCTCATTAATCCTTTGATCATAATCTCTATAACACAGACTGGGTCAACTAACGTTTCCATTAACTAGGCACTAATAGTAATCTGTGGACAATATATATATATATATCAGCTAGATAATTACGCTCCATATGAACAACATAATCATTTGATATTTTTCTAATCCATAATGCTTATTTAGCTGATAAAGGACATGGTTAAACATTTTCTATTGAATTAATTAGTTTTTTATTACTTTTATTTTATTTCAACGTGTCTTGAAGTAAGCGGAATATACCCATTGAGACGTAATATAAGATAGATAGGTTCAGTTAACAGTTCGATTTTGGAGAATTCATTTCCTTCTTTTACCACGACCTTAATCTCTTTTCATTTTCTTCTTCATTGTTTTCTCCCTTTACAGCTCTCTGCTTGTCTTTCATCTTCTCTATAGACTTTTTGCTTCCGACTGGGTTTCTTCTGCCTCTATGATCCTCTTAATTACAGCTTATCTCAATCTCAACATTTTATCTTATCATGTTGAGCCTTCCTTTCCCGAATATGATTTCTCCATTTATCTTCATTATGAATATTTAAGTCCACAACAACAAAACTATTATTATAAGCAAAGATAGATAGTGGCTAGCAGTGGAATCCAGGACGCACGTTTCGTCCTGTTCGGGACTCTTCAGCTGGATGTACCTGCATCTCAGAGTTGATGTTCACATTGGGACTCGAACTCAGTACCGTTCGCTTCAAACGTCATCGCGTTATCCACTTAGCTACTGAATCCTGATAGCCACTTGCTTGTGCAATGGGGTGAAGTTTAATTCACTTGATATTGTTTTACTTGAATCTTCCCATTGATGTTTTAGGATAACGCGATGGCGTTTGAAGCGAACGGTACTGAGTTCGAGTCCCAGAGTGAACATCAACTCTGAGATGCAGGTACATCCAGCTGACGAGTCCCAAACAGGACGAAACGCACGTCCTGGATTCCACTGCTAGCCACTATCCATCTTTGCTTATAATACTTGTAAATTAAGGCAATATCGAGGCATACACACAGTATGCACATATGCCAATAAGAGACTGATCAATTTCAGCCCTAAAACATCAATGGGAAGATTCAAGTAAAACAATATCAAGTGAATTAAAACTATTATTAGTTTTATTATCACAATGGGGATTTATGGAGATTGTAGTAATTTCATGAGTCTTTATAAGCTAGACCACCACTGAAAACATGGAAGCACTGGACAGCCACTTCGTTCTAGTACGGGACTCCTCAGCTGAAAACTCCCATAGTAGCTTAGCTATCTCAGCTTGGATAAACTAATGAATTCATTTCAATTCGATTAGAATATTATTAGTTTCCCTGATAAAAAAGTGACGTTTTAATGCCTTTGTTTATTCCATCTCAATGTTACCATGTTTAACAGAATTTGATTATCACTACTATTGTGATTATTATCATCTTGAAAAATAAGTATATATTTGCGATTGTACAGCTCTGACAATGAATTCGCCGAATAGAGAACTCCCCATTGTAGCAATCTTCTTATTTTATATCGTGAGGTGCAGTGTTTTTTATAAGATATCAGATATAGCGACTCACGTGCTAATGGGTTTATTTTCATTTAACCCAGTTAAGCCCTTTTTGTTAACTTATTTAGTGGACAAAGTCATCCATGATATAACAACTTGTTGTACTATCTTTATTATTAATGCTTGTATGAAATACATATGCTTGAACATTGTTTAGCGCCTACGCATGTATTCATTCTGCTAGCTTCATTATTAACTGCTTAATCTATTCGCTGACTCATCCATTTTCCTATACATATATATATGTGTACATTTGCACCCATTAACTACTACAACTACAACTACTACTACAACTACTTGCTACTGCTACAATCGTAGTTCGCTTGCTCATTCATTTTGCCTCTCTGCTGTCTGGTCCGAATTATCTACTAAATAAACTGTAGTAGCTGCTTCTTTTTGCCTTCTGATTTCAAACATCGTTGAAGATTATACGATAACGGTTCGAGGGTGATTAATTATCGAAGCACAGCCACTACACAGACATAAAATTATTCATCATAAATCACTGTATAATAAATGACACTATGGATGAAATGTGAAAACCAACTGTTCCATTTATAATTTTGATAGTAGAGAACAAATATGGCATTTTAAAAAGGAAAGATGACGAAACATGATCAATGACTGTGATGCAATAAGTAGAAATTTAATGGAATTCGTGAATTGTTCGCCTATTCATTGAGTAGTCTATTATATCTGTGTGACGTGATCTAGAAATTGATAATCATTTTTAACGTTTACAGTTTGACATTTTTCTGACACTACATGCATTTTTTAAATAAACGTTCCGTATATGTTCTCGGTCATGTTTATGTATGAACGATGAGACGTTTGAAATGAAATATTATATGTTAGTTTTTATTCTTAGTTGTGTTTTAACCAAGGAGAATACGTTGTTGTCTTTGATAACGTCTTCAACGCCTACTTTATGTAAAAGTTACCTTTGTTATTTTACAAATGGTAGAGCGATCCTGATTTCCAAAGTTGATTTATGTTCAGCTGACAAAGGACTCACAGCTACGTTTATTGTCAAAGAGCTTGCATCCAAAAAGCTGGGAATCTATTCGGAGCCACTGACGTAAATAAGCGACTGTCGAAATATCCAATTATTATTTGTAAAACATCTCAGAAGTCACGTATTAAAATCAATTTATCACACAAAACAACCCAATTACTTCATTTTTGTATTCAGATGAAAATACACAAAAACAAAAGAAGACAAATCCATCAACAAAATAGTGTGCTAACGTCGGGGAAAGTTAAATCGGACAGAATGAGAATCCAATTCTCCACATATACGAACACAGACTAGCTGTGGGACAACAGAGTATGTTATCGTTGATATTAGTGCGCGTAGATAACTAAGGATATTGATTCGACTAACAAACGTAGAAACCGTAAAAATTGGGAATTTTCAAGATCCCCAGAAAATTTCTAGAAGTATGGCATTCAGATTAACTGAGAGTCAGTAGACATATTGACAGTGGTTCGACCTGTTGACCTGTATAGAAAAGGCCAATCAGTCACATAGTCATAAATCAATCAAAAATGACGAACAGCTTGAATACAATATTAATGACAGCAACATAACAATAACAACATAATAGTAATCACGTTATCATCATTTTATCACATAGAAATAAGACTAATCGTAAAATATGATTCGTAGTACTGAAGTAGTATAAATCAGTTAGAGAAAACCTCATATTAAACTATAGATAATTTATTGAATGTAGCTTGGTTTTAATTACTCCTAATAATCGTTATTGTCTGTGACTTATCTATAAATAACATGCATTGCAAGATGATGTATCAGAAATAATTACTTTTTAATAGGTTTATAACACTTTAAATATGGTTCAGTATTGCAAATAAAATTGTCTTGTAAACTCGTACGGTTAAATATACACGTTGTAAAATAATTGTAGTTATGAAGTGATGCAATATATCTGATGTGTAATATAAATTATTTCGTAACTAGTACTAATAATAAATCATTAATGTATGTAAATAATTGTAGTGTGAGAAACTACTATGTTGATAAATGTTGAACAATTTTAAGCCATCATAAAATGCTTTTTATTGTGTATATATTAATTTGGTAGACAATATTCTAAGACTGTCGTCTTATATGTAACATCATTTTAAAAAGTGAATTATTAGTTGAAGTTAAACATTGACACCGTTGGATGCTGCCTTAGTGGTTTAGAGGTTAAGACCAATAGGTCCTGAGTTTGAATCTCGCGAAGCGGGATCGTAGATGCACGCTGCTGAGGAGTCACACGATAGGAGTAAACGGCCGTCCAATGCATTCAGGTTTTCTATGATGGTCTAGCTTCAAATGACTCATAATCTCAACTATTATAAATTATTTTAGTTTGTCCAATTGTTAGTTTTAAGACGATCAAATAGAATTCATTTTCAATCAAACTAAACTTGAGAACACAAGAAATACACTGAAATTGTTTATAATATATGTTAGTTTGTGAGAAAATATTATTGTTATTATTGTAATGTTATTTCTGAAATGAATATATTCAAAGCATAAATATGAAGAAAAAGGAGTCTATTACATTAATTTCAAATAATATCTATTTTACCTATGGGTTGTTGTAGAACAAGGCAGTGTGTACGTTGTTTTTAATCAAGTGAAAAAGTAACCGTATTCGGGTATCATTGACTTGACTTAATTTGAGTGAAATAGTTTAAAAAGTATTGAATTTTCAAACTCTTTATTTAACTTATTTAAAAAACCAGGTTACTAAACATCTGATGCGCTATCTTTCTACTAACGTGGATTTTTTTATTGAAACTGTTTATTTGGATGCGTTTTGGCAAATAAATCATCCTATTCAAAAGTTATAAGCACAATTATTGCAGTTGAGTTTGGATTTCACAGTAAAACTTAGAGAAAACATAATTTACTAGGCTACAGAATTGCATATATCAACTAATAAATGATAGTTGCTAATCAACATTCGATTTTTTAATTTCCTACTCTTTCGCTTTACACGTATCATTTCATCTTAACTCGTTATTAAAGATCTAGAAATCGTTTTTTCGGAGTAAATTTTGATACACTTAGAATCCATAAGCGACCAGCGGACAGTATAAGTGTGACTAAAGGGTTAGGTTAAAATTTACAAAAATGGGGTTGGATTTTAGATTTTTTCATAACTCATTGTAAAATGAAAGGATATAGCAAAAATATTTTCAACTAGAAATCCTTAAATTGGTTTTCAAAAACGAGTTCTCTAATGATAATATGAGTTTAGATGAATAACAAAAATTGTCACTATAGACCCATAATAGTTTCTTTGAAATTTCTTAAATGAATAATACAATATTATAAATTTAGTGTACTTGTTGGAATTCATGTAAACTAACTTTCGTTAATTTCATCATATCCTTAAGCCAGTCAAAATAGATATGAACTAATCCAAATAAAATGGGTGGGAGTATTCGTTTCGCATTATAAGGTCTGAGTAAGAAAAACTAATAAGTTATTTAAATCTCATAAGTAATCACCCAATAGGATCTACACAGAGAAATTTACAGGATCATAAATTAGGTAAGCTCTCTTTTATAGTCAGATAGAAAACACTAGCTAATTTCCAATAAATCATTCACTTAGTGGTGACCAATGTCATGTATGTCAAGCCCTTTTTTAGGGCTGATCAAATTCTACCCATCAAGCTGCTATGTGGTCATTGTTCTAAATGAGATGAAATCACTTGCACGATGTTGAAATATGAGATGATGCCTGGAGGTAGTGCCGAGGACTAGGAACCTATGTCAAAGGTTTCCTGTCGACTACCTTCAATCACCAACTTACAATATTGACTAATGTTTCGCTCAAATTTCTCACGAAACATTTTCCCCACAGAATAGTAAAATCTAAATAAAAATTCAGTTTATTATTTCAAAAGCTCTTATTCAATATCTGTTCTGAGTATTTATGATATATATTCGATTGTATAATGTGTGAACTTAAGAAAACAGAGTGCATTTGAACAAACATTCAGCCAGTAAAAGTATTTTCTATCTACCTATTAAGGACATAATTATTCATGACTTTACTTCTGTTTTGATTAACTAGTAAAGAATGGATGATAAGACATCTAATAAAAGTACTTTTTAAGGTAGCAAATGAATGTACAGAAAATTATTCTTCATAACTAAGTTTTCATTGCTGTGAGTTAGAAATGTTAATGGTCTATAAGATCCTTGTATCTTTCAGGAAGACTCGTCACTAGGACCAGCTTATTCATCTTGCCAGGCTAATCTATACAGACACTTTTCCTCGTAACCAAGGTCTGATTTCATCAAATGATAATAACTAATTAAAAAGTTTTTAATCCTGAGGATTTCATCGATTTTCTTTGTATCTATTGGCAGGAAACTTGGCAATGTTTCTCCGTTACTTGACATTGAGGATTTGATGCGTATGAAAGTACCTGACTGGAAATGTGTCTTTACACAAATTCAATTGTATTACCGGCGTTTCCATTTGGAAGAAGGTAAAAATGCAACTGTTCCTCCAACTGGTATCCTTCCTAAAGCTGCCCCGAAATCAGAGAATACGGATGAATAGTATTCTGTATATAAGTAATCTGTACGACCAGTCATATATATATATATTTCAATTCACGGGGATGCACGAGAGATGTGAAAATAAAATGTTTAATTCGAATGCTTGCTTTTAATGAAAGCTTTGCCTTTTTCAAAGCCTAATTCCCTAGTCTGCTTCATCACCCCAGTCATTGTTCAATTTCAATCGACGGATGCTTACCACACTAAACATATACGTATATTTGATTTTTCGGTTCAGTAAACAATGCATTTTATCTCATTACCATCTATCTCATCATAATGTAAAGTACTTAGTGATATCACAATCATTTTTTGCTATAACCTATAAAATTAGCTAGTTTATTTTTAATGCTATTTTTCTTTTGATTTCATTTGACTCTATATTAGCAAGATTACACTGATTTTTCATTGAAACTTTAGAGAATAGGCTTATCTATGACTTTATATTGCAACATTTATCTTTCATAATTTTGATTCAGAAAAATGAAATCACATCAAATTATTTTTATTTCTTCATTATTAAATTTTTTCTAATTTCATTTGCTAAATATATATATATATATATATATATATATATAATTGAAGTTGAATTAAACTTCTTTTACTCCTGAGAAAATAAATTTAAATTCATTAGTTTTTGATGGAGTTTTGTTCTCTGAGCTGGATGGTTTGGTCGTGGAGCTTTCATCGTTCTTCTGAACGACATCATCAGCACAAACTTCAGATTGAAGTGAAGTGTTCGATTTTCTCCATATGTGTTTCACAGCTTGTTCTGTGCACCTCGATGTTGATTGGTTCTTGTTGACCTTAAATTTATCATTGTTCACTTCTTTGTTTAGGTTGTGTCTCCCATTGTTTTGATTTTTGTTCTTATATATATGCATGATTTTTCTGATTGGTTGATAAATTGGATTGATTTCAATATGTTTGTTGATTGCTGATTGACCTGAGTGCCAGGCTTCTAGAAATTCTCTGGTGTTTTTGGAGTTTCCTCTGTCTAAGATTTCTACATTTTCCCAATCGAATGAATGTCCGTAGTTATCCACGTGTATTGAAATAAGTGAAGAGATATCATGGCGTTTGACTGCTAATTGATGTTCATGTAGGCGTAGGTGGAGGGGGCGTCCGCTTTGTCCGATGTAGTGTTTGTCGCAGTTGGTACAATTTATTTTGTAGATAATGTTTGATTTGTTCTCCTTTGTTATTTCATCTTTTGGTTTGCACCTACGCCTACATGAACATCAATTCACTACAATCAATCTTATGCAAACCAAAAGATGAAATAACAAAGGAGAACAAATCAAACATTATCTACAAAATAAATTGTACCAACTGCGACAAACACTACATCGGACAAAGCGGACGCCCCCTCCACCTACGCCTACATGAACATCAATTAGCAGTCAAACGCCATGATATCTCTTCACTTATTTCAATACACGTGGATAACTACGGACATTCATTCGATTGGGAAAATGTAGAAATCTTAGACAGAGGAAACTCCAAAAACACCAGAGAATTTCTAGAAGCCTGGCACTCAGGTCAATCAGCAATCAACAAACATATTGAAATCAATCCAATTTATCAACCAATCAGAAAAATCATGCATATATATAAGAACAAAAATCAAAACAATGGGAGACACAACCTAAACAAAGAAGTGAACAATGATAAATTTAAGGTCAACAAGAACCAATCAACATCGAGGTGCACAGAACAAGCTGTGAAACACATATGGAGAAAATCGAACACTTCACTTCAATCTGAAGTTTGTGCTGATGATGTCGTTCAGAAGAACGATGAAAGCTCCACGACCAAACCATCCAGCTCAGAGAACAAAACTCCATCAAAATCATCCACCTGAGCTACAAATCTTCTCCACCATCTCAAATTCATTAGTATTCAGTGTATCAGGTCTATTAAGGACATAATTATTCATGACTTTACTTCTGTTTTGATTAACTAGTAAAGAATGGATGATAAGACATCTAATAAAAGTACTTTTTAAGGTAGCAAATGAATGTACAGAAAATTATTCTTTATAACTAAGTTTTCATTGCTGTGAGTTAGAAATGTTAATGGTCTATAAGATCCTTGTATCTTTCAGGAAGACTCGTCACTAGGACCAGCTTGTTCATCTTGCCAGGCTAATCTATACAGACACTTTTCCTCGTAACCGAGGTCTGATTACATCAACTGATAATAACGAACATGAGTTTTTCTAATACTGACAGTCTTAAAAACTGTCTTGAGGAATTTACAGATGATGGCATAACTCCTTAAGATGATGAATAAAGAGGGATGATCAAGCTAAAAATCAAACGTCTGAAGTCATCTCTCCAACACAATTTAGATGTTCCCATATATCTTTACATAATTGTTCTAATGACTCACAGAAATTTATACATAAGTAATATAATAGAGTTATAGTGAACGAAAACATATATGGGGACAATCGAATGTATCTAAACATAAAACTACAAAATCTTTCCGTAAATTTGAAAACTATACAGTAAATACTTCATTTGCAAAATGCCAATCAATAGTTTCAGACTTTATTGTTTCTTCATTTCCACATCAATTATTTTCTGTTTTCGTTCTCTTTTCTTCAGTCTTCTTAATCTTCTGTCTCCAGGCATTTCACTTTCGACTGATGATACATACTACTCGTGTCTGTTGATATCAGTAGCACACATCACAGTGTTACTATTTTGAATATATATTAACGTTCAAATCTTTATAAATTGAAAACTCTTATTTATTTGTTCTCGATTGTTTCAAACGGTTCAAAGTAAATTAAGTCACCCTGAATTTAGGCGTAGTCATGCATTGTATCTGTTTACTACCGTATTTATACAGATAGCCATTAATAAAAGATTATCCCACAGCTCATCACTATGGATAATTAAGGTACATATTGTAACATTAGGCTTTGTAGAAGTCTGGGAAGCACAAAACGTACCAACAAATCATGCAAATAACTGTATTTTTAATTATTTGCTTATGTCGGAAATGATACTTGGACGCGCGCTGTCTGAGGTCGAGATCGATGTCATCTATCGATATTACAGAATGTAGTATAAACAGAAAGAAATGGGGAGACTATGTTTGTACGACTTCTGGCAATATACGTTTCTAGTTGGCCGTTAATTCCGGGTAAAATAAGAGACCAGCTGGTCTATCTTATCAGACGACAATGGGTTGGAAATCGACTACTGCGAAATGGTACAGTTAAAAGAAAGAATGAAAACGATGGGTTGCAAAACGAGTATCATCAATGACTCCTGTCATAAGAGATATAGTGATGTTGATTCAACCTTATAGAAGACAGGAAAGTTGAAGGAATTTGATGCTAATGAACTCATAACTCGATTCTCTCACATATCCGCAAAGTTGGATTAATGGTTTAGTTATCTGGTTATAACGTAGATTACATTCCATAGAGGAGCAATTCTTGAGGATCGACCTTGATAAAACAAATAAAATGTCATTATTTAATAGTGGAGATAAAAAACACTATGTCTACATAAAATAAATTAGTAAATCATTTGGGACCCTTATTTGAATATTACCATTAGAATAACAAACTGTCGGTGGCTCCTTAGCTGTCTACCTTTGTCTTCTAGAATAGAAGTAAGAAAGCACGTTTGCTCATCTGTGGATGAAAAAGAATAGGCTGATCACTTTAAAGTCAGTTATCCTCAACAGGGTTAACTATAGTGATAATTTAGAAAGATATCAGGTAGATATAATCAAAGGTTTATTTAATAAATTATTATCTATAGATATTCTCGTAATCCGACTATTTATAGATTGTATGCTGGTAACTTTTCTGGTTAGCGTTTTTTTAGCGAGTTAGTTTTCTACGGGATGGTGTCGCTAACTCCATGTACAACTCTCCTTCTTTATCCGGGCTTGCGACTGGCAGTAGCCCCCGTAGGGACTGCAGGCGGAGTTGGTAAACCAACCAATAAACTCGAAAGAAGATGGGGTGTGGTTATCTTTGATGAGGTAAAATCTCTATGGCGCAAACTGATGGAATACTGAGAGCTGGGAATTTATTGTTGAGTATTCCTGTACATGTCCGCAAAAATCAGGCGCAAGTCAGTATTGTAAAAAGCGAAAAAACAGAGGAAATCACGACTGAGAGCCAAAGAGAAATAGTGGTGTGACGGGTGGTCCTGAAGCCTTAATGAGTACAGCACAAAATAATTTAAATTAACTTCAGACGTCCTAAACAAATGTTCAAATTGTGCTTAAATTGATTTGCACCGTATTTGTAGACAAGCTCTTCTACGTCACACAAAATCAACCAAACATGGATGTGAACAATTCCTTGGATATACGGTAACAAGATTTTTTGAGGACAACACAACGGTATGGGTGAGTACAATTGCAATAAGTTAATGGTATAAGATAATTTTTCCTGAGAAATAGAGGAATTCGAACCCTCATAGAGAAGCTGTCTTACGATAATGTTGTAGCGTGGTGTCGAGTCCCAGTTGACTATGAACACCACTACAAAGAAACACGTGCCAAGTAAATCAGAAGGCGAACGCGAATTAGAACCAAGTTTGTTTCGTTGGCGATCTCGTGGTATCGAGCGAATACCGAGGTCGTGTCAAGAAAAGGTACAAGCGGAGTGGGCAGGAAAAAGTACATGCGAAGGAGGTCACGAACCGCGAAACAGTAATGTAGAGTAATGGAAGCACAAAATGTCATTAGCACAGTTATACAAAAGCACACTAAAACAAGCAAAGGTACAATTGGTTATAATAAATAACAGTTGTTTTCATTAAACCAATAGCGTTCTCGTGATAAAAGTAGGTCACTACAATGTAACGTTCAGATTCAAATTTGTCTAGTAAGGATAGAAAGCCTACAGCCTAGATTATTCTTTGTCTATTATGCTTCTGTGAGTATCTGGTCTTTTCCTGAATGATTCAGTTGAAGATGCGGACACTATTGCTTCGGGTAACAGGTTCCCAACCCCGGAGTTCTGTAATTACACGAGTAATTGCGCTTTTCATCTCTTCCAGGATATCTGAGTCACATTTAATCAGGGGCTTGCAGCCTGAACGCAGTTCTGGAGCGGAGAATAAACTATCAAACTAAATAGTTCAGTAGGTAATAAACGTTGATACCGACCTCATTTGGTGTTTGTATGAGCTAATGTTTTCTCTGTACTTGATAACTGTCTGATTTCGAATAACAATCGCAATACGTTTGTTTGTGCTCACCTTGTTCTTCTTGGTCTAAATTCTGCTGTTTCCGGGATTCCGAGTTCGCATAATAATTCGGATACTTGTGATCATCACACCTAATTACTAGACACATCCTAGCTGAAGGCTCTGGGTTAGACATTCCCACTAGATCACATCCAAGTACAAATGTCGCCCAAGTAGGATCAGAAATATCTGAGAAGACTTGAATATAAGAATTAACAACACCAAAGATGTTTTATGAAGAGCAATTTGTGCATTAATCTCAGTTTATCATATGAAATAAGTTTTTCAGAGCCTGGGTGTTTTTCGTCTACGCGGAATCATTAACGAAAATGAATGGTAATGACGAACTATACTACGGAGTCATTCAAGCATTGGTGACATGAACATAAGTGTTTTATTTGTGTTTTGAGCGTCATCTTATAGTTCAAAATCGACAAAGTCGTTTGAAAGCTTATACGTTTTATGGTTGCATCGACTCATGTTCACATTTGAAAGGTGTGGCCTTACCACCTGATCACTTCTTATTGTTTGATTGATTCCGAAGATAAATACTGAAAACACGATACATTTAGTCCTCTGATTGTGATTACACTACAATTACGATACGTATAGAAATCGTAGCCAAAATATATTTAGCAAAAATTGAGTATGGATCACTTTGCCAACAAATCATTTCGAATTGGTAGTTATTATTTCCGGAACATACATCCTATTGGCGTTCGTTGTTTTTAATTCATATCACCAGGCACTCCAACATCTTCAGATGTATTTTGCCGTAATTCACATAGTAATCAGTTGTGGATTTTTATATGAACAAGCGAATATGTAATGAGGCTGACAGACACAGTAAGTTAAAACGAACTAAGAGAAGAAACTTGTTGCGGTATCTGGACGGTTGGAAAAATAGGTGATCCAGATAATCGAATAGGTAACGGGTAATTCATGCGGCATATCATTGTTGTACTGTGTTATGGATAATGTCCTCAATGTCTGACTCCAAATAATAATATCCCGTAACTGAGTATTTAAGGTAGGCTAAATCTCCTAGTAGAATTACGGATTTACTCGAGATTATTCAGAAGCCTGAATACCAGTTATAGAGATAGTTTATTGTTAATGAATAATAATAATCCACAAGCGTACGGTGAGCAAGTACACGATGAAACAGAGAGAGTAAGTGAGTCTGTTAAAAATCCATATATGTTTGAGAGTTAATCGGGTGTGGATAGATTATTGATTATCTGCACATTGAAACCAATAGGAAAATAGCTTAAGAGTTAATGTACAGACATACATTCGATCATACACACCGAAATTAACATAGTGAATTGAGTCTGAGTTACAATGACTAGATAAATGATACAGTAGCCAAATGGGCTTGCCACAACTGTTCTAATTATATGCTCCGCTCTAAGTAGCGTAGGATTGGCAAATCGATAGGTTCAAAGACGAAAGCTCGACGCTGTCACGTTTTGCCAAAGGGGTACCAAAATATATGCAGTTTCGATACCACCAGTTTTGTGCAACAGTGCTAGCATCTCATCTATAGCTTTGTTACGTCCAAGTTTTGCTCGTTCCAGTTATTGAAGTACGGACTATCGATCTACTTGCAAATTACGAACCCAAATTAACAACAAAAACAAGTTCCAATTTAGATACCAAATTTATTCGTAATTTACAAATAGTCGACCAGATGTCGTTCTAACAACAATAATTATAACAATTACAAAACAAGCCTTCAATTTTGTAGGTTCCCGGAGCAAAACTCCCAAATATCAAACCAAAGACAAACCAAAATGTCCGAAATAATTATATAAGAAAACATGTTCAAAAGTTAAGTAAAACAATTACATCCAAAAACACGGTAAATTAATAATGTACAATAAAAGGTTTTAATCCGCCAAATATCTTCAGTTCTCCCGTAACAAGCTTTGATATCTCCACATTTGGAAATGCGGCTGTAAGTGGTGTCATATCCATTGGTTTCGAGGTGTTTTTTATTTTGACAGGTATATATGGTATGTAACAGCAAGGAAACTGATTTGCAGAGATTAGGAAGGAAAGTTCTGAGTGATTATCATATCAACGGAACTGAAAGAATCATAATGTAAGTAAAGGAAACTGAAGGGAGAGGCGCAAATGATGTGTTTAATGTATGATTTTTACATTTTACTAAAGCACTCTGTAATCACGCTTTAGACAAATTGGTTTTCTCCACCAAGTCTTCGGCCACTACAATTTTACTAAACACAGCAGAAGCTCATATTCAGTGAGAATAGCCAGTGAATTTGTAATGGAATCGGACCCTAACCATGCGACTTTTGAAGCCGAGCATATAGTTGTTGAACAGACAATTGATACAAAGAAAAGGTCTGGCAGTCAGTATAAGTTACATTCATTTTATTTCGTCCTTTATTAGTATTTGCAAGCTTTATCCTTGAAACCAGTTAGGTTATCATTTTGAGTGCCCAAAAAACTGGCTGTCTTATACTCATGAGTGTCTAACAATTATTGATGTGATAAAGTTGCTGATTTTGTTTAATCCTAAGTTCGCATTCATATGAGTTGGAGCAAAATGATATGATACATTGACTTACCTAATCTTGCGTAGAGGCTAGACTATTCGTTGACTTCTTGGCTGATCCAATCACAATCCGGTCCCAGGATATGCTGCTACGTTAGTCTAATTAACTGAGAGATAAGATTTTATCAGAAAGATTGGGGATGACAAGTTAAAGAAGGACAATATGCAAATATTGTCACCGAGGTCCCCTACTTTGTAGGCTCATAGGATAGGTTAGTGGAACAGCATTATCCACTAGTGACGTCGGCTTTATATATTCTTTTGCTCTTGGCTGAGCCGTCTTATTTGTTCAGGTCTAGCGTGAAAAGGAACCGAGGTTCAGGCCCAAAATTATGTCTTTGTATTCCATAAATCAAAATTGAACCACTTCTTAGTCTTTGATAAAGAAATATGAATAAAGCTGACCTCTCAAACCTCATGGCTCACGGAAAACTTAAGAATTATGACCTAGTTTGTTATTTGTACTACTATAATAATCGACCTAATCCCAAAATTACTTGTTATGGAAAGAACATTACTCTTTTCACTGACTCGTCCTGTGGTGGCGATCAGGTCTATGACATCCAATATTTCTTAAGAACTGAGACGAGAGTAATATATTTGAATTGACAAGCAAGAGCGATGCCATTTCGATTAATTGCTTCAGCATTCACCATTGTTGACCCGCTCTTAGTGTTGAATATGAATCTCAGTAATTATACTCTCAGTTTCAAAGATCGTGTGATCAGGAACCGATAACACTACAGAACCATGCAGCCTTTGTATTACAATTGTAGATGTTTCCTCTTTCCTATATTTTCACACTGAAACATCGGTCAGTAGCACGCTAGATCTATGTAAACTGTGAAGGACGTATTTGTATCTAATCGTGTGAATGTTATTCATACCATTCACACATCTCCAAATCTGTTACCTGCAACTGAACGAAAGTGGGTCATTGTTACTAGAGTTACTTTACATAAGGCTACTTAGCACGACATGCAGATTAGCCCGAAACCCATATAGATCAAAATACATGCCCGATTCCTGCCGTATTCTCAAATCGTTTACCACCGACGTAGGTGATCGCAGTCTACTCGAGTCTAATGTGAACTGTGTGACCACCTAGCCCAAGTTCAAGTTATATCTTTCCCATTGTTTATACCTAACCGTGATTGTGTTATTCTGACAACCAGATGAATTGTTTGACGTATTAACTGGATAGAATAGATACTCTCTATAAGCAACTCCATATCTTAATATTAGCTCATCACGATGGTACGAATGAGAAAAACCACCTCATGCGCCTGTACAAGGCATGTAATTGATTAATGGAATTGATCCACGCTAGTCATCCTTGACCTAAACAATGCTCAGTAGACTATCTAATGATCAGCGACCTGTTGTCTAATAGAGGAACAGCTAAGTCTGGTGGACCGCTGTCCACTGGACCATTAGTTTGATTAGACAGAAGCAACATCGAAGATGTGGTGGTACTTAAAAGTTAAATAACGCAAAACGTTTAAAATTATTTTACACGCTTATGTCAACTGCCTATTGTACAGTTTCTAATTCAAATGAACAGGGTTTCAAAGTTCATTAAATTGCCTGATTTTAAATATCAATATTACAAGAAGTAGGTAACTTATGCTTAAATTTCGCCAATGATAACCTAGATTTGTAAGTTAATAACGCAACTTTCTTCAAGGCCTTTTTCTCTAAAAGTTGATGGTTAGTTGACTTATGTAAAATTAGTTACATTCTCATTCAAGCCTTATTTTACCAGCTTGAGACCGACCTATCTCGTATTTAGAATGTCAGAAAGGTTGCTCTGTTTTAAATTTTGGGATTGAAAAATATTTGCATCATAGCTGTTGAGATAAAGTTTTACTGCGTCAAAAATCATGTTCATGGCGCTCCCACGTAGGTTTGCTAGCAGCGCCAACTTCTGAGGATATAGCTGGACATGTTGGAGGAAGCTTATTCTTGTACAGTTGATGATGTCCTAAAGCACTACAATACGAACACTGAAACTGGTTTAACTAAAAAGCAGATTGAATCCTCTTTGAAGGAGTATGGCTACAATGGTTTGTTCTTCTTAAAAATAGACATTCTTTTAGAGTTACCACCGGAAGAAAACAAGCCTCTTTGGAAATTGGTACTTGAACAGTTCGACGACCTCTTGGTCAAAATTCTCTTACTAGCAGCTGTTATCTCATTTGTAATCCATCACGATGTATTTTTACAGTTTCACTTTAGGTCTTGGCCTGGTTTGAAGATAGCGAAGATGCGACTACTGCGTTTGTCGAGCCAGTTGTCATAATGCTCATATTAATCGTGAATGCAATCGTTGGTGTTTGGCAGGTAAGTCTTCCCGAATTAGGTTTTATAAATTAAGGAACGTAACGCTGAGTCAGCCATAGAAGCCTTAAAAGAATATGAGTCAGATACTGCAAAGGTTATTCGTCAGGGTTATCAAGGTGTGCAGAGTGTGAAAGCACGTGAATTAGTGCCTGGAGACATTGTGGAAGTTGCTGGTATGTTATACCTGTTTTGTCAGTGAGTTTTTTACTGAGTGTAATTAAACAGCACAAGTGGCTTGTATTGAATTGCGTGAATATCAATAACAAAATCACCCACCTGTTATAATGTTAAAAGCGAAAAACAGGTAATTAAAATCCTTGGGTTGATCGACGCTGAAACATTGTGCGATGATGACTTTGACAAACCACTTTTCCGATGTCTGAAAAATATCTGATAATCATATCACTTCGCCAAACCCGTACAAATTTGTGTTATCTGACTGCTCTTAATTAATGTTATCTTACAAAATCAATGGCTTTTTGCCGATAGGTTGTCATGGGGTGTTTAGCTGTAAAAAGACCTCTCGAAACTGCTTATATAACTGAACAATCTTTATCTGTAATATGTTAAACCGCATTTAATTACACTGATGGCGGTTCTGTAATACACTAAAATAGTGTGAATAATGTTTTAAGGATCCCTTTGACCAAGTTCTCTGTTGTACCACAGTGGAATGAACAAATAGGTTTGTGTACTTATAATATGTACCAGTGTCTTTGACAGCCTGTAAATTGCTTTTGATTTGAGTTTAAATGTTGATTTCCCCCTGAGAAAGTCTTATTTTACTCCTTGCAGACACATCTGGGTTAAATCAATGCACTGGCAAAATAATTTTGTTCTTTGCCTAATATATCATAGGTACCTTAATTCTTTGTATGCATTGGTATATATTGGATTTTTGCTGGTCAATAACTACCAAAGTATTCTAAGTTTCATTTTATTAATTTGCCTATTTAGTTGGAGATCGGGTTCCAGCGGATATTAGAATCGTTAAAATCTTGTCTACAACACTTCTCATTGATCAGTCTATCTTAACTGGTGAATCAGTATCAGTTTCAAAGCACAGTGACCCTATATCCCAGGCTCGAGCTGTCAATCAAGACAAAAAGAATATGCTATTTAGCGGTACAAATGTAGCCTCCGGAAAATGTGTTGGAGTAGTAGTCGGGACCGGACTTTCAACAGAAATAGGCAAAATTCGTGATCAAATCATGCATACAGAACAAGATAAGACTCCTCTCGGGCAGAAAATAGATGAATTTGGAACACAGTTATCAAAGGTATATAATTAATTTCTGCTTGTTTTTACGTTTCGTGATTTTTCCACTACAAAATGTTTCTAGTGTCGATTTGTAATTTTTCTAGTTCTTATTACTTAAGTTTTCAAATTAATTTCAGTCATGTTTTTCATAAAACAACTTTTTTTCATTATTGTAGGTCATAACACTCATATGTATTGCTGTATGGTGCATTAACATTGGCCATTTTAACGACCCAGTGCATGGTGGTTCTTGGCTCAGAGGTGCTGTTTACTACTTTAAAATTGCAGTCGCGCTTGCCGTAGCGGCGATTCCGGAAGGTCTACCGGCTGTTATCACAACGTGTCTAGCTTTGGGGACCCGTCGAATGGCTCGCAAAAATGCTATTGTCCGATCATTACCAAGTGTTGAAACTCTTGGGTGTACAACAGTGATTTGTTCTGACAAAACCGGTACCCTTACAACCAACCAAATGACTGTTTGCCGAATGTTCACTTTCGGTAACGAGAGTCGGGTCGGTGATGCTTCGCAGCTAAAATTTGATGAGTTTGAAATTACGGGTTCTAAATATGCTCCGGAAGGAAATGTGTAGGTTTCAGCTTATTTTTCGTGTTTTATTGGTGTGCCATTTTCTGATCATCTATTTATACAATCTTGGTATATAGAGTGTACTGATCGTGACAAGCAAAACGAATCAACATTTCTAAAGCCTCTCACAGTGTCTTCCTAAATAACTAAGGCTTCTGAATTAATTATTGAGGTTCTGTTCAGCATAAACTATACACGCACATACATCGGAGTTGAGTCGACCACAAATATCAGCGTTAATTTGGAAATAAATCTAAAACTCACTAGCTATCGATAAAGTAGAAAGATGACGTGTTCTCATTATGTAAGACTATAAACAATTCACCAGAGAAATCGAAAGTGATTGAACTATTTGTACTGTTAATGCGTTCGAAAATATGGTATCTAGCTGATGTAAATGTCATGTTGAATTAGTTTCCCTTACCTTAATATATGTAGCTACCCTCAACCAGTGAGTTAATATGCAAGTTAGTGCTTTTGTGTCTAATCATAAGAATATCACCGTTCTCTCACGATTGATATTCATGCTAGTATTTTTCCAAAGCATTCACTTTAATAAAACCTTACTTTCGTATTTTCAGGCACCATCAAGGACGAAAAATAGACTGTTCTGAATATCCTTGTCTTGTAGAACTTGCGCAAATATGTTCTTTGTGCAATGACTCGTCTGTGGAATACAGTGAATCTCGGCATGCATATGAAAAAGTGGGTGAAGCGACTGAGACTGCATTGGTCTGCTTGGTTGAGAAAATGAATGTCACAAAAGTCTCTAAATCAAATCTTACTAATCACCAGCTTGCAATGATTTGTAATCGCGATATCCAGGTAGTTGACCTTCTTAGTTATGTTTTACTGAATTTCTGTGATTTATTTCGGTATTTTTCTTTCTATTGTAGAAAATGTATGAAAGAAAATTTACTCTTGAGTTTTCTCGGGATAGGAAGTCAATGTCTACGTATGTCATCCCTCGAAGTCAAATTTCTGGCTCTAAAGAAAAGCTCTTTGTTAAGGTAATCTTATTTTGTCTGAGTTTGTGCTTTTTCAGTCAAACGTTTCTTCAATCCTAGTAAACTAAATGGTTTAAAAAGGAATTGCTTCATATATATTACTAAATGCTTGTATAAAAAAGTGATATTGGTGGAAATTTAGCGCTTTTAACAATAGAAGCGAAGTAAATGTTATTGATCTTAGTGCTCTGAAATGTGTGCACAATATGTGTTTTAATTAAAACCATCTCGCTTAGTAACAATCAGCAAACCTGAGCTGTACTCGCCTTCACTCAAAATAGCTTTCTTAATCAGTGTTTTAGACATATAAATTTATTGAACTATTAAGAATTTGTATGGAATTATTTCCTTTTGTCTTACTACGTGCATTTTGATAAGGGCGCCCCGGAGTCCATATTGGATAGATGCACTCATGTACGCACCACAGGCGGCAAATTATTGTTAACGTCTGAGCTAAAAGGCGAAGTACTTCGAAAAATAGCTACCTACGCCACTGGACGTGAAACTCTTCGTTGTTTGGCTTTAGCTACAAGAGATGAACCACCTTCATACTCTCACTTTGATTTAAAAGATCCAAAAAATTTCAAGGATTATGAGGTAAGTTATGTTTGTTCTTTCTCGTTGCATTTAGTTCCTCAAATAGTGATCCTGTTTTTATTTTTTACCATTATTAGTTGTATAGTGCTTGATGCAAGGAGATTTAAGTTCGAACAACGTTTGTGATGTGTTTTTAGTTCCCTCTGTACGCAGTTTGGTTAATGTTTAAAAAACAGTTTCAGGTTTCATTCAGGTGTGTAACACATGTTACATTCAAACTAAATTGAAGAATAAGCAGGGATGATGAATTGTTGTTCATTTGCTTTGAGATTTTATGTGGTATGGTACAATGTATTCGTATATCCCTGTATATAAAAAAGTTTACAAGTGAACGGTATTGTGTGTTACGCATTTGGGCCCTTTATTTTTGATCGACCATTTTCTAACAACTTATTACCACTCCATCGTATCACAAGCTTACACCAATTACTTCTAATGGCTTTCATTTTCAGACTGAATTAACTCTTGTGGGTGTTGTTGGTATGGTGGACCCGCCACGTTGTGAGGTTGCCAGCAGTATCCAAGCTTGTAAAAAGGCTGGCATCCGTGTTATTGTTATTACAGGCGATAATAAAGCAACTGCCGAAGCTATATGCCGTCGTATAGGATTGTTTGAAGATAAAGAAGATACTTGTGGAAAGTCCTTCACGGGAAGAGAATTCGATGACCTCAGTTTAGACAAGAAAAAGGATGCAGTACGCAACGGAAAGTTGTTTGCTCGCGTTGAACCCGCCCATAAAAGTCTAATAGTACAATTCCTACAGCAGGATGGTGAAGTATCTGCGATGGTAAGTCTTTATACTTTTTCATTCTCTCTCTCTAATATATATATATATATATATATATATATATATATATATATATATATATATATATATCACTAATGCTATTAAGTAAATGTCGTTCCATGTAAACTGTGTATCTTACCACATAATTTTTGTGACAAGCTAAAACGCCTCACGTTTTGATTAGTGGTTTTGGTCTCGCATAATGTTGTAACTTATTCTAGGTGGTAAAACATATATGGTCGGTGAAATTACAAATTTTAGTTGTGACTTATGGTACAGGTAATTACCCGACTACAGCTGAATGACTCGAACCTGTTCGAGCGAATTCATTGTGGTTGTCGGCTAGTCATAAGGGCCCAGCTCTAGTATGCTTCGGTCAAATTGCTATCCCCTATTAGTTTGATAAGATAACATTAACAAGGCAGTCGTAATAATGTAGCAATAATAATGACTGCGTCGAGAATATGGATAGAAAAGACAAAGAAACTGCCTTTATTTCACAGCCATAAATTCTTTCAGAGCGGACTGTTGCGTCGTATATATTCACTATGAAAAATAGACATCTTGTCTACGCTACATGTGTTGCCAGGCGAACTTTCTGAATACATCCCGAGATCTTGTGGTAGCCATTAGTTTTCAGATTTCTTCGCGTACCGTTATTTCTTATTGTATCTTGAATTTCAGAATTTAATTAATCTAAAATATCCATACGTTTATGTCAAGATGTTATACATTTGCAACGCATTTCGTCATCCTTTTGTCGTGGTAATTTCATACATACTCGATATATTTTTTGTATTCTTGAAATAACTCTGATTTTACTCATCGTTGTTTCTGTTTCAAATATTTTAATGTCAAGTGTCGATTTGTCGATTGTTTGTAATTCTACCTAACCTCCAGGTATGGCATCAAGTGTTTCTATCTTACATAGGTCAGCTTTTCTTATACAACCGCAAAATAAACACATAAATATCTCTAAGTTATTTCCTCATGTTGAAGCGATAGCACTTATTACTTATCCCAATCGTCTAACCCTAGTCAATTCGGTCATGTCCATCTCTTTGTTTTTCAAGTTTTTATCGCGAATAACTCACCTGGGGTAGCTTGTCAAAACAACCTTCGTGGTTGGCAATCTTTGTTTCGGTTTCGGCACATGCACAGTGTTCCAGTGTAGAAAACTGGATGATGCAATAATTAAATAAAAATGTACCACTCAACCTCGTTTGTAATGAATCGATGACTACCTATTGTGTAATTTTCGTTCGATACTGTATTGCTGTCTCTAAATGCTAAAGTTCGCTTACTCTTTTAATGTCTTAATAGACTGGAGATGGTGTTAATGACGCTCCTGCACTAAAGAAGGCGGAAATTGGGATTGCTATGGGAAGTGGTACTGCCGTTGCCAAATCTGCTTCTGACATGGTACTAGCAGATGATAATTTTAGCACAATTGTTGCGGCCGTTGAAGAAGGCCGAGCTATATATGATAACATGAAACAGTTTATCCGTTACCTTATTTCGTCTAACATCGGCGAAGGTAAGTTCATTTGTTTGCCACTAGATTGTATAGTAATTTATTAAAGTTCATAAATGAAATTTTATCAGTACCTTCGCTTGAGGAAAGTCAACTAAGAATATTTAGATGTCTTCAAACTAGTATTCATAAAACTTTATATGTACCTCAATCAACTTTCGGCCCTAAAAGTATTGCGTTTAGGAGTATCATAATTCCTTGAATTTTCCATTTCATCTCTATTTTCTTTTTGTTGAGAGCCGCTGTTCATAAGTTATTAGAGTAAAAATGTCTTACTTCAGTTTCATTTAATCTTTATCAATTTCTTCAATGGTTACAGACTTCAAAATCCGTTTATCGTAGGTTTTGCAACCGTCTGAAACAAATTATTGTTTTTAGTAGACCTTGTGCAACCAATAAAACAAGTATTGTAATTTCTTATATTTTAGACTAACCACAAACTTTTAGTGATAAACCATGTCTTTGCTTATTTTTCTCGCCTTAGTTGTCTGCATTTTCTTGACTGCTGCTCTTGGAATGCCTGAGGCTTTGATTCCTGTACAATTACTCTGGGTTAACTTAGTGACTGATGGTTTACCTGCTACAGCCTTAGGATTTAATCCTCCTGATGTTGATATAATGACTAAACCACCACGTAAAAGCAAAGAACCATTGATTTCCGGTTGGTTATTTCTTCGATACATGTTGATAGGCATCTATGTTGGGTGTGCAACAGTTGGAGCAGCAGCCTGGTGGTTCATGGTCTATGAGGGCGGTCCCAAAGTGAACTATTATCAGCTGGTATGTACAATTCCATAGAAAATGCATTTTACTATTTTTATGCAATTTATACATCCCTAATTTTAAACAATGGACATTTTTGACACCTATTATTTTTATCAATGCTTTCGTCATCCCACTGATAGGTTTTACTTGGTATCGCTATATAGCTGTCAGTTGGTGAAATTAAGTATAAAGTTACTGTTATAATTTCTCTTATCACTACCCAGCTACTCCTATCGCTTAGTATTCCTGGACATTGCTTCGCTCGACAGGTCCCCAAACCAAAACATTTTTGAATAAGAACGTAGTTATACTCCAAATAAAAGTGTTGGATGGAAGTAGGAATCACAATAAAAAATCGTTAGAATGTTTATAATTTTTACACAAAATTCTGGAGTTTTCTCTAAGTGTTCACTAGCGCTGATTGGTTAAGAAATAGACAATAGCGTGCCCCAACACAGTCCTGCACGGTACATGTTTCAATCCAATCTATATCGCGCTAACAGTTACATTCTGTGTCCACCACTATCATGTGTTTTTTAAGGTCTAGTCTGAGCCACGTTGGTAGATGCAGACTACTTGGTTGGGGTCCGCGTGACTATCGTAACCAATGGTTGGAGACTCTTGGGGACATGGCTCGGAATCGATCACAATGGCGTCGGTGTATACACTCCCTGTCTTCCCTTAAACTAAGAGACTAAAATCACTTCATTCTTTCTGTCTACGAACTAATTCTTTCTTCCTATACTATATCCTTATTGCAACCTTTGACCTAACCACTCCTATGAATCCGGTGTTCATCTTGCTGTGCTAATGAGGTATGGCAACCTGGACCGATGCACATATGTGCCTGGTCCTACGTTGTAGCTGACTGACTGACTGACTGTGTTTTTTAATGTTCAGTAAAATAAAATCTATAAAATAAAAAAAGATTTCAGTAAATCCGCTTACAGGGTTGAAAGTGCATTCAATCTAATTTGTGAAAAATACAGGAAGAATAATAGATTTCAAAAGATAACTATATGGAATTTCGAAAATAATGTTTGACAATAGAAGGGAACCAACATGACACTTTCTTTTCCATAGCAACTTACATAAAAGTACCCAGCCTCTAATATGTGATGTGTACTTATATATTTCCAAGTAAATCACCATTATTGCTGGTTCATATTTTTCATTACTTACTAGCTTATTTCTCTCATATATTGCTCATTGATTTCTGACACTATTATGTTTTAGCTCTTTTAAGGAAGTAACTACTGGTTTCATCCGTATTTGACAGCAGTAGTACAGAAGCGAAGTATTCACCTAAACATTTCAGTTAATATATCTTTTTTGAACTCACTTGTATGTAGTAATAACAAAATTACGTAACGTTTACATCCGATACACCAAAAATGTTTTCTGTCAATTTGTATTTACGGCTCATTTAAGCGATAATATTTCCTACTTTCTGTGTCATCCTAGTTTCAAAATTTCATTTCTAGTCGTGAGACACCTTCAACACCGTGATTTCTTTCTACTCAGTACCAGTTGTCCTTTTCTTTATGGTTATCTTTGAATTAAAATACAATTCGTTTCTTTTAGACACATCATTTGCAATGCCAGTTGGAACCATCTATGTTCAAAGGAGTTAATTGTAGCGTATTCGCCAGTCCAAAACCTATGACAATGGCATTGTCTGTGTTGGTTTTGATTGAGATGTTTAACGCATTGAACAGGTAATTCATTTTGTTGATTTTTACCTCATTTATGAGTTATTTATGGTTGACGCTATAAAGATTATCCATTTCGTTTACAAGTTTTAAGTCCACTAGATATAGTAAGCTGTTTTCTAAGTCATTATGTATCAGTAAGCCTCTTTCGCAGGTTTTACGTGTGATACTTATTCAAGTTCAGCTACGCACAGAAATATGGTGACCAACTATCTTCCATATCGTTGAGCTTTTGCAGTGACAAATCGAGTCATTCTATAATAAAAAAGAGATCAATACATAGTTTTTACAACAGTTGAGATCATGAGTCAATTGAAACTAGACCACTATGGAAAACCTGGAAGCACTGGACGGTCGTTTCGTCCTATTGTGGGGCTCTTCAGCAGTGCGCGTCCACGACCTTGCCTCGCGGGACTTGAACCCAGGAACTATCAGTCTCGCGCCAGACGCTTAACATAGTTTTTACGCAAACCCTTCAAATGAGTTGTTGATGTTAGCAAATTATCCACTGTATGGTGTTGATAAGTAAATCAGACCATTATTTTAAATGGTAAGAGTTGGGAATTAGTTGCATATGTTTATATGAAATAAGAAGAATAAAATACAAATTTAGCTGATTGTCATTACGTATAATAGTACAAAGCTAACTATCTCCATTTTGAAAAATGTGAGTTGATTATGTATAGATGCTAATGGTTGGTTAGGTTTTAAAGGTCTTTCATAAATAGAGTAGTAAACGGAGTATCTTGTATGGCTATCGCTATCATTTTAAGAAAAAGTCTCCTTTAAATAAATGCTAGTTCAGTGGTATATTAGATCCTACGTCTTATTTTATGTCAATTGCACATGGGGTCCAGAATCCGGAGAGAAGAAATGGCGTATGAATCTAATGTTGCTTCATTGTCTTATGGATTAGACCTCTAGGTAAAAGACTCGGGGAGTTGCCCCCTAAGAAAACCACCTGCTTTGGTTTGGGCATCCGAACAGCGTTCTAGCCCTCATACACTTCAAATGACGAAGTGTTGTGCATATACATTTGGTGCTTCATTGTACCGGTGTTTGTGCGTCTTCCATCATATGCTGTTCTGGCCGACATTGTGTCTCCTTCGGTAATTTTGCATTATGTTTCTTTATTTTATTAGCCTTTCTGAGAATCAGTCGCTTCTGGTCATGCCTCCTTGGCATAATATGTGGCTTATCGCTGCGATCTGCTTTAGTATGACACTACACTTTGCAATCTTGTACATAAACGTACTAGCGGTAGGTCTTTCAGTTTTACCATTCACTTTTTAACTACTCATATATATTTGTCTAGGCTCTGGTTTTCAGAATTTTGTTTATTAGACGTTCCTATGATTCTATTTGTGTTGGTTTTTATTCAGACGACTGTCGAGTATTTTGTTTAACCAGCGGTTCCAAATCAACGGACTATCCCTAAACATTCACTCATCGACCTGCTAACTTTGGTCTACCGATTGCTCCCAATAATCCATCAGGCACTAGTAGCGGATCTTTAGTTGTGATAGAAGTTTTAAATATGGTGCATTTTATAATTTGTTTAATAGCTCAACAAATAGTCTTAGTTTTTAAAAATTTAAGGCAGTAAAATTTGTGTTGCAATGCAAACCCCCTTATAGAGCTGGATGATTTTTATCAGCCCTAACAGATTGCGGCTCAGATGCTATCAAGGATGGGTTCTGCCACCACTTAAGTGATCCCAAAAAAGCACTTGGAGGTAGTCGAGAAGTTTGTGTATCTGGCTAGATGTGTAAATGCTGTTGGTAAAGGGGTGAGCGGTAAGATCAGTTCACGCATAGTAAAAGCCACACTTACAACTCTAGTACGAGCAACATTGTTCTATGCTTGTGAGACCTAATCTCATAAGTGATGTTAGGTCATCGTTTCTCCGAAGGATTGCTGACATTCTATGGCACCGCTTTATTAGTAATGAGGAGATTCGCCGGGGGACAGAAACGATTCATTTTTTGGTATTATATTCAGTGGCTTAGACATGTACTACGAATGTCGTTTTAATGGGTTTTACATCGCGGATTGCTTGTCGACTTTGGAACTGATTCTGAAAAGCTGAGAGGTAGTCCGTTTTTGACATAGTGCCATAGTATGAAAGAAATTTGTACATGACTGACGTCTGTTGATCCTTTATGATACCCTGGTTGGAATCCCAAAAACAGCGCCACACAATACCTTAAAACGTTATTAGATATGACTGAAAATACAAGCCATTGACGACTGTGTTGTGATTTTCTTTTACGTTATTAATGTGAGTGAGAGGATCTTTTTTAACTGAAAGATTTCTTTCTGGCTGTATTTTTCTGGACTGAACTGCTCCGATTGTTATTTTTTCTTTGTCGTTCACTTAATTTTTTATTCATTCATTGTTTTTTACCCTTTCTCATTTTTCCATCTCCGAAATATTATTTTGTGGTATGACGAATATTTATTTTGGTGTTCCTTTGTACCATTATTTTTGTAAACTGAATACACCCATTATCATCCTGTAAAATAAGTATATATATATTTGCGATTGTACAGCTTTGAAAATGAATTCGCCGAAAAGAAAACACTTCACCGAACTAATCTTTTTTATTCAATATTTTTGTGTTTGAATAAAGAATTAAACAATATCAAGAAATCTTTACCATCCTATTTCAACAGTGGATACAGCTGATTTTATGACTATTAACTTGGTGTTGATGTAAACATTCAAATTACTGATTTACAAAAATTACATCTTTTAAACTTTATTTTGTTTATAAAGTTTATCTTACAAACTATTTACCTGTTAGATCGAAGTAGGTATATTTTATTATGTGTTAATTGTGTGCCTCAATACCTGTAACTGTTTGTAGCCAAATGCAATCGTATTATCAGTGCGTCGGTAGCTGAAAGGTCTCAGATAGATTCATTTCGCATGGTTCACATAGATAATGGAACTTCAAATGGTGTGGTTCATCAGTAGTTAGCTGTAAGAATTTTCTAGTTAAGGAATTAGCAGTTTAAAAATCCCCATAGAATATTCAAAAACGAAGAATATTTGAGCGAACAATTGTTTTCAATAACTTCATCATCAGGCTCTACAGTTATAAGTCCATAATTATAATATTTTACAAAGGCCAAGAATAAGAATTCATTAATACATGCCTTATTCTTGGCCTTTGTAAAATATTATAATTAAGGAATTAGTTCAAAAGCGTTTAACTCGTTGATTCTGAATAACAAAATTCTGTACACATAGCTGTCATTTAAAAAAAACTATTCCAATAATCTATATTAGTGGTCAATATACTGTTTTGTGTCATTCAACTGACAAACAGCTCTTTTTTTATGTTCTATCTGCATATCTAGAATGTGCAACATTGTTACATGTAATAAAATGAAATAAACTCACATGAATGAGGTTCTGTTTAAATTTACATTTAACGAGTACTTCATGTTATTTATCAGCTGTTTAGTTTCGCATTATAATAAATCGTTATTATAGTCCGTATAAGTAAAACTTAAACCGACATTGTTGGCCGAAATGAAGGATAACAAGTTAATAGAGTTGTAGAAATCACTAAAACTAAGCTAATTAAATCATGAATACAGTATTATAATTGATCAATCAATTTACTTCATCTAATCAGTTTCATTCGTGATTTTTTCTAATTGGATTGCACTATATTTCAGAATATATTCCAAATAGCTGCACTGAATATCGCGGAGTGGTTCGCTGTATTGAAAATCTCCATACCTGTACTTTTATTGGATGAAACACAAAAAGCTATTGTTCGTTCTACCCAAAGAGGTCATAGTCCACTTTACCACATAGCGATACCAATGGTGATGTGGTGCGTATATTCTGCTTTTCTCGGTTTTAACCCTTTGTGATTTTCAAGTTGTTTGTTCACTTTTTTGGATCGACTACCTTAAATCATGGAGTCGATGTGTAAACATTCTCATGTGATCTCCACCTCGATTATTCTCTTGATGTTTCATTTGTCTCCAGGATATTAATCCATACAGACCATGCTTCTAAATAATTCCTATTTCACATCCATTTACTGTTTATTTCAGACTGATAGAATATAATATTTCAGGGGTTGTCCTTTTTTATTCTTAGTTACTGGTTGTATCAATGCTCATTATCTTCAAATTGTCGTTTATTTATTCATGTCATATTCATGTATAAAAGCATTCATGTGTGTTTATCGTTTTACATATCTTAGTTATCTGTTCTGTATTGATGATATGCATTAAGTAGTTGGGCTACTACATTCGTTTTGCTTAAAGCGTTAAAAAATTATATAAAAATTAGTTTATCATAAATTGTATATAATATATCTAATTGTTAACAAATTAAAACCTTCAGAAAGGAGGGGATTCTTTAAAACTTCACCAATCGTTGCCTTAACTTTTGTTTTGACACCGACTTAGTTGTTTTCCGAGTGTCAGTTTCTTACAGATATTAAGATTTCTGTCAGAATATTTCTTAGGTATTTAGGGATAACTTTTGACATTGAAAGTATTTTTAAATATGCAAGGAAGTCATCGTTATCCTGCTGTGCTGATAGCATTTGGCTTGATGTTTTGTTATAATGCGGTTTTATTAAGTGAACTTCCGTGTATTTGTTGAGTATGTTTGAAAGTTACAAGGAGTCTTATCGATAATTCTCCCAGTATCCTTCAGATATTCTCATTCGTTTTGCGATGCCACCAACCATCTGTTCTATCATTGAAAACATTTAGTTCTTACACGAAAATACAAATATTGTTGATTATTAAAGTGTTTTCACAAGTAAACGGCGCTGAGAAAGATACAATAACATGAAAATGTCTGATTTTCTATATTCATGAAATATTTGGAGCGATAATCAAACCAAAGGCTATATGTGAGTGCAAATCCATTTCTATTTAACATTAAGTAGACCGAATGATAATTTTATTGAACTGGTTTAAATTACGGCGGTTAATATTCCTTCCTTTTAAAGTGTTTTCAACACTGTTTGTACCGATTACTTCTTGAGTTCATGGTACTATGCAGTTTAAACTCTGGATTACTTAATATACTGATCTTCAAAACAGATGTATGGTTCATAATTGTTTTTTGTAATAACTATAGGCGGCCATACTTCTAGGTTACTGTGAACAGTATATTTTGCTCTTTCAACTAAAACTAGTTGTATTCAATAGTGAATTCATTTTGTTCACAAAAAGATTCTGCTGCTGAACATTCATTAAATGTTTTCATCTAATACTTTTTGGCAAATATGTTTAGTTTTTCTGTAAAATGAACGTGATTTGACCTACTTTAGTCAAGAAAGAAACAAACCTACATTTCTTAGTTTCAACTATACTTGCTCATTTAAACGGTATTTTATATTGTTTTGGATACTTGTTTTAACTAATGATTGATTAGAGCTTGTTTATTAACGACGAAAACCCAACGAGCAGTACACTCAATTCATTCACTTCAGTCTTAATAGTAGTTGCCTGACAAAGTTTTAACTTACAACCATTGTAAGCTAGTAGTTGAGAGGTTTAGTTTCATTTGGTCTCAGATTTAACACAACCAATCATAAAACTTTCATTTGCTAACATAACTCAAATATAATGACTTCTTACTAGCATAGACTAAGCAAGTCTGTTTCTTCCAGCTAGCTAAAGTTAGTTGTGTGCTGCTCATCAGAACAAACTTCAACAATAGTGAGTAATGGTCCAATAGCATGATAATAGTTGTAAGATCCATTTTGAAGGCGTTGTTTAGGAAAATCCCTCGAGGGATACACTTGTGATATGTCCCTCTTGATTCTTTCAGATATGCATTTTGTTGATACTTTCGATTCCATTCGAGATAGTACTGTTTGTATTTTATTGTAGTTTGGTTTTCCTTGCACCTTCACCGAATTTTCATGTTTTCCCTGAACTTCATTTATGTTGTTTTAGTTGATACTTAGCCATGGCGGACGTTATATTGATTCGCTTTTTTGACTGCGTTGCTTGCATTGATTGGGAATGTATACTGAAAAATTCTTCCAGATTTTGAAATACTCCGTGTTATAACGTAGTTCAATATTATCTTTCGAACAATCTGTACGTGGTCTATCCAGAAACGGTAGAATAAGATTTATTGGTTGCACTTGGCAATTCTCTTACATCCTTTATCAACTAATCTATTTAATGTAATTTAGATTTGACTACTGATTGAGCAATTATTGGCTGAATAATCGGGTGGTAATATTTGTTTAGGTAATACTGTACATTTATAGTTATAATGAAATCTAGAACCGTCATTTATCCAAATATAAATTAACCTGGACAGTTATTCTTCCAAAGTTAGTTTGGAATCTACAGTAGTAACACGAACCCTCCTTCCGGTAGTGATTTTCTTAGTTCCCATGATAGGATACTTAAAATGGTATTCCTGATCTTCTATATGTCTTAACAGCCATAAATAAGTATATATCAAATTTACTACGCACTTCATTAGAAATATGTGGTGATTGCCGGTGAAACGATTTGAAATTTTCATTAAGTTACTTTTGAAACGAACAATATTGTAAGAAAAATAATCCACTGTTTACTCTAGTTGTCTGAGAATAAGCGATTACGTGGCTTCAGATGCAAAATCAAATCTAAATAAGTCTTCATAGCGCCGGAACCAATTGTCAAATGTAAAATTGGCATCGGGATCTTACCGCTTGCAATGCTGTCAACTGGCGGTGTAGTAGAAGAATGAGAAGTGCTCGGTTGTGTGGTAGGCGTAATTGTCGCTTCTGCTAATATATGGATAAGTTTCAGTTGCTATCCCAACAGTAACTCCACTTCTGAAGGAACCTTGTGTCATAACTTGTGGCCTGTTAATGTAAACGTAACCATACCGCCAATCAGAGATCGGTGAATTATCGATCGGACCAATGACGCGTAAAACACGTGCGAGCAGTCCAGAGTTATGCTCTCCGCCTAGCCCAGCCATTTAAGTCCAGAACATAAATCTGAGCCTCTGCAATATGAATTATTTGTTTCAATCATACTGGGTTTATGTACCAACCAGACAGACCACATCGTACCATAAAATATGAAACAAGATTTGGCCGTATATGGCTGAGTGAGGGAGGTAGTGATTAATAAACGGCATAATTCAAGAATCGTAGAATAATAGTTCGTAGGTCAAAATAAGACTTATGATAGGAAGAATACGAATATGGATAGTTTAGTTATTTAACAATTATACGATAAAAGTATACGCATAGTATTGGTCCATAAATGGATCCCAAAAGTTACCATTCGTTGTGCTTATTGGGACATACACCTTGTTTCCTTCAGCCTCGTCTCCAAATAGCTATTTTTGAAGAGATTAAGAGGTGATCTAAAATCGGCTAACGGAACGAAAGATCAGCGATACAATGACAAGACAAGCTTACCAAAGAAAGATCTGAGCAAATGTGAAAACTGTAGAGGCACACTACTATCGATACTAGGAAGAGTTCTCAACTGAGTGTTGCTTAACCGAATGGAAGACTCAGTAGATACGCAACTTCCAGATCAACGAACCGGATTTCCTAAGAACAATATGGAACTCTCTTCGACACTATGGTGTACCTGAGAAAATAGTGAACATACTAAGTCTGTACGACTCACCACACTGCATGGGAGACACCTGACAGACACATTCCAAGTGAGGACCGAAGTCAAACACGGCTGCTTACTCACCCCCTTCCTCTTCTTTCTGGTGGTTGACTGTACGATGGAGACCTCCAAATGTGAGGTGAAGTACGGAATACAATGGACAGCTTCGAAGCGACTAGATGATTTCGAATTTGCAGATGTCCTAGACCTTCTATCTCATAAACAGACAAGTACAGGTCAAGACAACCAGTGTGGCAGATGCCTCTGCCTCAGTAGGCCTCGACATACACAAGGGATGTAGCAAGTTCTTTAAATACAACTCGGAGAACACCAACCAACCTAATCACACTTGATGGAGAAGCTCTGGGAGAGTTGGAACGTTTCACGTACTTGGATAGCATCATCAATGTACAAGGATCGGATGCAGTCGTAAAGGAAAGGGTTGTTAAAGTAAGGACAGTATTTCCATGATTTAAGAATATATGGAACTCAAAACAACTGCCAACTAATAACAAAGTCAGATTCTTCAATGAAAACGTCAATACAGTCCTACTGTACGGAGCCGGAGCTTGGAGAACTGCAACATTCATCAAAAATATACAGTTATTTGTAAACAGTTGTCTACACAGTATACTCAATGTCAGTTGGCTGGATACCACTGGCAACAACCTACCTTGGAAGAGAACAAACCAACTTTTATGTGTAGAAGGAATTGGAGAAAGACGCTAAAAAGATAAGTGGCAACTGGAAAGGATTTTCCTGATCATAGCTAGTCGGAGAATACTGGTGAGCGGCCTTCGCTTCTCCACAAGCATTATCAGGAGTAAGTAAGTAATATAACTTGAAATGAAAAGTCAACAGACTTATTCGAAGTCACGAATTTTAGACTTCCTGAATCTTTAGACATTAGCAGAATGAAAAGCTTCAGTTTGAAATTAAAGTAAATGTAATTTTCGCAGCTTATCTATGAGCAAATGTATGTGACTGGTAAGGATGAATATTCTGGAATAAATTTAATTTGTAAAATGATAATAAGCGAAGCTAATGTGTGTTATATTTTCTGACGGTATGTAAAGTTTTAATA